AAAAAATTTCGAAAAAAAACCCATCGCATGCTAAATGCAGTTTTACCTATTTTAGAATACGCTCTCTTTATTTCAGATATTTTCAGCAATGCAGTGTTGCCGTTTCTTTCAACAAGTAGCAACAACTTTGTTATTTCAAATAGAATACCCTGTATTTTATTGCATTTTAAGATTCTTCCTGAAGATCTGATTTCATCGATACATCATACTTGCGATCTATCGGATATGATTACAGAGATATAGGGTGTCCAAAATCGAGATTTTTCAACTTTGGAATTTGTTCGTGTCGAAACTATTCAGTTTCGGTCAAAACGGCTCACATGTCCCTATCTCAACTTTTGATTCACTATTTACTGATATTTAATCGGCACAGATACAGGGTGGTTCAAGATTCAGAATCCTGATCACCCTGTATCTGTTCCGATTATCAGTAAATAGTAAATAGAAAGTTGAGATAGGGACATGTGAGCCGTTTTGGCCGATAATGAATAGTTTCGACACAAACAAATCCTTAAGTTGAAAAATCTCGATTTTGAACACCCTATATATCTCTGTAATCATTCACGATAGACCCCGAGTGTGATGTATTGATGGAATCAGCTCTTCAGAGAGAATCCATAAATGCAATAAAATACAGGGTATTCTATTTGAAAAAACAAAGTTGTTGCTGCGTTTGATAGAAGCGGCAACACTGCATTGCTGAAAATAATTTAAATGAAGAGAGCGTATTCTAATATATGAGCATGCATATTTTCATGGATTTCTACCGACTGATTATCGATATAGAGATACTGGTAAGCTCAACATACCCTGTATATCCTTGCCGTGTCGATAAAAAAGTGAATCTTTGCGATAATACTTAACTAGGTATAACGAGTTATGAAGCTGTTTATGGAAAAGTGAACCCTATCAAGAGTTGCCATCAAAAATCTTTGAGAATATTGCTATAAATATAGGTATTGTGAAGTTGGTTACTGTATATTTACTATTGGTAACCACTCCATGTGTGCTTCACACTTTGCAGTATTGTACTTCATTTATGCGTAATACACAATTTGAGAAACAATTCAATCTATACTTAATTTTGTGATTGATTTCTCAATTCTTAGACATACAAAAATTAACATTAGTTCGTTGTCATTCAGCCGTGTTTTTAGGCGAATGGACTGATTTTTCTTATGCAGATAATTTGCACAAATGCTTTCAATTTCCATAATTCTCAAGATATTTTCGAAATGTGTGTGAAACAACTTGAAAAACGAATTGGAAAGTTTCCATCCCTTTACGTAGATGAGTCGCTTCATTTCGCTCAGGTTTCGAATTACTGATGATTACTGATTTTGGACAGCGCCTTTAAAATATCACAATATCGGAATGAAATAGCTTGCAAAGAATCGTTCCGAGATGACCATCGTGTTGGACAGAGTCGTTTCAATTTTAACGAAGAATTTTCGGAGAGAAAGGTCGATAATAACTTCCATCTTTTTATGCTGTTCGCGAAGAAAACGTACGCGCCAAACTATGAATTTTGATCTCTCGCCACTTTTGGGGGCCCCCTGGTGTTCGGGGCCCCGGTCTCTGAGACCGGTAAAACCGGTGGTAGTTACGCCACTGGAGTAAATAAATAGTCCCTTTTTTATGTTCAGTTATAGATAAAACTTTTCTGAGTAATTAATTCATCGAACTAGGTACAGAAAAAACAATTAGCCGGCGTTATGATTCATATAATGTCCTCCATAACACCCTAGGGCGTTATGGGTCTGTTGATAGCAACCGTTGCCAAGGTATTATAAAGCAGTAATGGGCAAGTGAAAAATAAAGTGTAGTGGTTGAATTCGAAAGTTTTATCGCCAACCAGTCCATTCGCCTCTTGTATAGCTACCATGTACAAAAAACAGTCTTCATCTTACTCAAACTTACGAAAACTAACGCGAATTAAAAAGGTTAGAATATATTCAGGTCAATAGAAGGTAAGCATTTTTTGTAGAATTTACATAAATATTTGGAATGTATACTAACATGTTTATCTACACTGGTTGAGCTACTGTAAATGGACGGACTGTGTTTCAATAGTAAAAATTCACGTATTCTTCGGAATAAGTCGGTGCATTCCAGTTATTACTGTGAAGATATATATTTAAAATATATTCTTACAGTTGAATGTACTTATTTTAAGAAATAAGAGTCTCTAACAAATTTCATTCCTGTTTTTCTCAGGGTATATCAACTTTTAACTATTAATTAAATTGTAAGAAACCATACACTTGGCAATGAACACATGAAAATTAATGGTAGATTTATGCTGCAGTTCCGAGTTATAAGACAAAAAAAAAACCTTCATTCATGTAATAATTGAATGATTATAATCGAACCTTTTTTCCGTGAGCACAATTTGAGACATGTCAACTTTGACAGAGGACTCCTTATGCTTTAGTGGCACAATGTTATTACTTTGGAGTCGTTTCTTCAAGAACTCCCCAAGTTTCCATCATCTGAGGATTTTTTGGGGACTCATCACTTGACGTTGATATACAGGGTGTTTCAGAGTTGTGGTGACTAAAGCCTAGGAGAGATTCATCTCAAAAAAATTTGAAAAAAGTTCATATATGAAATGAAGTTAGAAAAACAAAAAGTTTTTTATTAATATCTTTAAAACGCTTAAGCCGATTCGAATTTCATGGTTTATTCACACAATTATTAGACATTTACTTGGCCAATTAGATCTGATCTATAGTTTTTTGTTGTCACCTTATGTTATTTGTAGACAACTTCTCCATACCAAAATTTTATTTCTGACTGAACAATCCAAACTCGTGAAATTCATATTCATATACCTACATTATGCATTCATAACATAACCTGAAATAATACTGAAAGATGGATCAAGGAATGATCAAGGTAGCTCTCTACCTTCTTTGGATTTGACATTTCTATGAGACTTTTTTCGAAATTATATTAGGACTATAAAATAGAAACTGGTTCACATGCATGCCTAGATAGACGAGGTTGCCCTAAGAAACCAATACAAATACAGGCCTAACTGGTCTCGTTCCTCCAACTTATTTGAAGCATAATTAATCTGTGGCATAATGTACCCATACATTTCACCCCTCACGACTCGAAACTGCAGAGAAACCCACCCTGTAACCTTACCTAGACTCCTTAATGTACTTGACACTTTTGTTTTGACGTATTTGTCATGGGCGCCGGCAGGATTTCTTTCAGCGGGGTTCATCTGCATCTACACACATACTAACTGATAAAATATCAATTATACAGGGTGATTCATTAATAATAATGAGATTTAGCCCAATATGCCTGATGAGAATTTTGCTGGTTTAGGAGATACAGAATGTTCTAGGGGGAGATTTTATTTCAAAATTTAACAATAACTTTTTTAGTTTCAACAGCATGAACATGAAATCTTGTATTTCTAGGTTATCTGACATGAGGAATATGGATTCGCAACTTATTTTGTGTTTGCTCATAGAGGGCGCTAGTGGCACTCTGTTACTTCGATAATTTACTTCATATCTTCTATGTCAATTCATTGATGATCAAAATAAGTGGAAAATCTGGAAGCTCGTTCATTTCACATGGAAAATGTACTCTTTATTAAACTGTCTAGCTTCCACGGTTTTTGTGTTATTCGCTCTTGAAGAGATTCATTTTCCTCTTATGACATTTTAATAATTTCATTTATCAAATTAAGAATCGGAAATCCCTGAACTACAGATAGTTAGCACCCAAATAAAAAGATTTAGCTCAACATGCCTCATAAAAATATTGCTGGTTTAAGAGATACAGGGTGGTTAAGGAGAAGATATTTTGAAATAAAATCTTCTCCTTAACCACCCTGTATCTCTTGAACCAGCAATATTTTTATAAGGCATGTTGGGCTTAATCTTCATATTTGGGTGTTTTCTTCAGAGATTTCCCATTCTTAATTTGATAAATATTATTATTAAAATGTCATTAGTGAAAAATCAATCTCTTCAAGAGCAAATAACACAAAAACCGTTGAAGTTAGACAATTTGATGAAGAGTACATGTTTTATGTGAAATTGAACAAGCTTTCAGATTTTCCACTTATTTTGATCATCAATGAATTGACATAGAAGATATGATGAAAATTATCGGAGTAACAGAATGCCACTAGCGCCCTCTTTGAGCAATCACAAAATAAGTTGAAAATTCATATTCCGCATGTCAAATAACCTATGAATACAAGATTTCATGTTCATGTTGTGAAAACTAACGAAGTTATTGTGAAATTTTGAAATAAAATCTCCCCCTAGAACACCCTGTATCTCCTAAATCAGCAACATTCTCATCATGCATATTAGGCTGAATCTCATTATTTTTGTGTTTACTATCTGTAGTTCAGAGATTTCCCATTTTTAATGAATCACCCTGTATACTCCTGATTAAATAAACTGCAACAAGCACATTTTTGTATTATATTCAACATTGAATATTTTAGCGGTTACTGTACAGGGTGTCCCAAACTGGAAAAAAATTAACCTAGGTGTCCGGAGCTTAAATTCAATAAGGAAACCACTGGCGCAAACGAGACTTTGCTATCTCTTATCGTTTGGCCGCCAGAGGGCTTTTCTCGAAATTCGTTGATTACTTCAATGCCCCATAACTTTCTTATTAATGAAGATAGGGTGGTCCATTTAAAAAAACAGAGTTTGGGATGGTGCACAGCAATCTGAACGCCCTGTAGAAAAACTTCTCATCTCAATAGATTCTATGGAAAAAAGTGCTTTGAGAATGTTTTTACCAAAATGAATTATCTTCATTAATAAGAAAGTTATGGGGCATTGAAGAAATCAACGAATTTCGAGAAAAGCCCTCTGGCGGCCAAACGATAAGAGATAGCAGTCTCGTTTGCGCCAGTGGTTTCCTTATTGAATTTAAGCTCCGGACACCTAGGTTAATTTTTTTCCATCTCTTCAAATTAGGGGTGTTCCCATAAGAACGCATCCAGTTTGGGACACCCTGTACATATTCCGATGCGGTTTTCTTCCTTTTGAAGATGAATCATTGAATTCATTAGGGATATGTATGTATTCTCCATGTTCCCAATTTGATGGAATATTTTTGGAAATTTTTTCATAATATGTACCGGAAATATTCGGCGATTGTTATGACAGCTTGTTGCCTAATAATTTCGCCGAATGACATTGTTTATCAAAACTTTCGAGCCGTAGGCGAGAAGTTTTGGAACAATGTCATGAGCAAAATTAAAGCAGCAACATAATGGACGTTTCAAACGTCCAAAATTTCATCGCTGAAAAACGAGAAAGGTTGGTCACGTGTGGGTCGAGTATTGGTAGAGCAAGTCCGATAAAATTTAGTAAACAAAAGAATATCGCTGTAATACAGAAGAAACCGTGGAAATGGCCGATTCTGATTGATCCTAGAGACCAAGAGTGGAATAGTCAATCTTATTTTTATAATGCTCAAGAGTATTCCTAGAAATAGTTTTGCAAATTATCCTTATCCCTTCAAGTAATAAAAAGAAATATTTTTCGAAAAATGTGAGATTTTGTATATCTCAAGAGACATATTTTCCATCGTAGCGCTATTTCCAAGGTTTTTTACAATGAAATAGTGCTGCAATGAAAAATATGCCTCGTCAGATAAACGAAATCCCACATTTTTTGGTGTAAATCTTTTTGAAATCTCAAAAAGAAAATGTAGAATTGCAAAACCATTTTGAGCAATATGAAAAAGAGATAAAGAAAATCCCATAAATTCATCAATATTTTGCAGAAGTTTGTTGGTCTCCCTGTATAACTAGATATCACCATGGATATCTATCAGTGGTCTAGCGCACCCTGCTGCAGGTGGCCATGGTTTTTGTGCATTAAACATACAAAAAAGTCGAAACAAAAGTGTCAAGTAAATCAACGAACTCTAACCTAACCTAGACGTCCGTCTGCGGTACGCCCATCGGCACGCCGCCCTTCTGCTTAACCGGCAACACGGGCGTGCCCCTCGCTCTCGCCAGCCCGTTCGGGCTACTGCTCACGAATCCCTGCATCTCCTTCAGCGACACGCTGCCCTGCAGGGAGCCGGCGCTGCTGGGCGGGCGGCCGTACCGCTTGTCGAGGAACTCGCTCGACTCGGGCGGCTCAGCGCCTGCCCGATGGTTGACGATGCCCTCGCGGTCGGCGTCGAGGTCGCCGTCGTTGGACGGGTAGAGGTAGGGGTTGTAGTATCTGTCGGAGGACCTGCGGGGCAACCCGTCGTAAGTTTGTTATTTATTTATTTATTTACTAGAAAAATAGTATCACGAGTTGTAATCGTATGAGTATTCCATGATCGAGACAATAAACGAGCGTCTCGCGAGAGTTGCGCACACTGCATCCATCATTCTAGCTTCCAACATAATGGGCGTTTTGAACGTCCAAAATTTCATCGCATAAAAACGAGGAAGGTTGGTTATGTGTGGGTCAATTCGGCTTCCGTATTGGTAGAGCAAGTCCTGTAAAATTTAGTAAACAAAAGAATATCGCTGTAATACGGAACAACCCGTGAAAATTGCCGATTCTCATTGATTCTAGATACTAAGAGTGGACTAGTCAATCTTATTTTTATAATGCTCTTCTTCTGATTCTTCTTCGAAGCGCTGGTGGGCGGGTGAACCCCCTGCACGTGGGCGTCCTTATTCGGGCCCATTGTGCGCCCACATGTTACGACATTCAGCTGGGTATGCCGACTGCCTTGGAGAAGTTCAGCAGCTTCCTCAGCTGAATCTCTTTTACGTCCTCTGGCCTCAAAATTGTGTTGCCAAGACAGCCCTCCTCTGATGCGTCAGTGCTGGACACTCAGTGAGGACATGTGATGACGTTTCGTCATCTTCCAGGCACCATCTGAAAAGGGGGTCATCCTTGATCCCAATAAGCTCTAGGTGCCTATTGAGGTGGTTGTGCCCCGTTAGGAGCCCCACTACCATTTTAAGGTTTCGCCTGTTTAGGAATGAAACCTCTTTTGCGAGCCTCTTCGAAGGTACCTTTATGTGGAGCTTCGATTGTCTCATTCCTGGTGTGTCCTGCCATATTTTGAGGAATTTCTTTTGCAGCTGTTCCTCTATAGAGGACATTGCCAGGCTATTTGGTATTCCAAAGATTGGTTCCGGTCCGACCGAGGTCCGTCCTTTATAATGCTCAAGGGTATTCCTGGAAGTAGTTTTGCAAATTATCCTTATTCCTTCAAGGAATAAAAAGAAATGTTTTTCGAAAAATGTAAGATTTTGTATATCTGAGGAGATATATTCTTCATTATAGCGATATTTCCAAGGTTTTTTACCATGAAAATAGGGCTGCAATGAAAAATATGTCTCGTCAGATGAAGGAAATCTCACATTTTTGGGTGATATCTTTTTGAAATCTTAAAAAGGAAAGAGAAAATTGCAAAACTATTTTGAGTAATATTTTTGTGCATTATGAAAATGAGATTGAGAAAATTTTTTCAATATTTTGCAGTATTAGAAGTGATAGAAGCAATTCAAAAAGGAATCGATAAAGGAAATTACATAGTAGCTGTTTTCATTGATCTAAAAGAAGGCTTTTAATACAGTGGACCACACAATACTTCTGGATAACTTGAAATCCATGGGACTCAGAGGCATTGTGAGAAATATTTTAACTTCATATCTGGAAAATAGGACAATCAGTACCAAATCTGCTAATTCTGAGTCTCATAAACTGTCAATGGATAAAAGTGTTCCACACGGATCTGTTTTAGGATCAATACTGTATCTGCTTTATATTCAAAACATCACGAAAGTTGGTTTAGCGGGTGATTATACCATATATGCAGACGATAGAGTGCTTTTATATCAAGACAAAAATCCTCTAATTTGAAAAACTGTAATGAATAACGATCTGAAATTGTTTGAAAAATGGCTCCACTCTAACCTTTTTTCAATAAATACCAGAAAAACTGAATACATGATTTTTCAACAAAAAAATAAACATAAAATTCAGCTCAATTTTCAAATAAAGGACACGCTGCCCTGCAGGGAGCCGGCGCTGCTGGGCGGGCGGCCGTACCGCTTGTCGAGGAACTCGCTCGACTCGGGCGGCTCGGCGCCTGCCCGATGGTTGACGATGCCCTCGCGGTCGGCGTCGAGGTCGCCGTCGTTGGACGGGTAGAGGTAGGGGTTGTAGTATCTGTCGGAGGACCTGCGGGGCAACCCGTCGTGAGTTTTGTGGTATAGTCTATCCAAAGTCAGTTGAAGTAGGGTCTGGTGGAGAACCCATAACTCTGGCCAACTATTTATTATATTTATTATTAAAAAAAAAATTATAAGATGCATGCTGAACTTGCCTAATAGAGAACCATGTAAAATCCACTTCGTTGAATTGGGTATTATGCCATTACCAAGTTTGTATATTTACTCATTGATTGTTTATATTATTAATAAACAGGACACTTTAAAGACTAGAAAGGAAGTACAGTCATAATACCCGACAAAAGGACGAAATTAATTTAGGTTTCTCCAGATTATCAATTGGACAGGGAAATCCCAATTATATGGGAATCCAATGCTATAATAAAATTTGCACAATGAAGGAGTTCAGAGAATGTGAAACAACATTGCTCACGAAATATCTCAAAAGTTTTTTGGTACAGAAATGCTATTACTCACTGCAGGAATTTCTTAATGATACCTCTGACTGAGATCATACTCATTTCATCATATGCTAGACCACACTGTACAGAATAAGATCTGTTATTTTAATTAGCAAATGATGAATTATTTTTGAAGATGTGCCATTGTAAGTCTGGATTTTATTTTATTTTTACATTATTTCATCATACGAACCAGGTTCCTATTGTACCAATAAGTGAACTAGCTTATCTGTTTGTGACCCATAAAGTATTGTACTTACCTGTATTGTGACATTCAGTGGACGAAATAAAATTCCATTCTATTCTATTCTTGATGCAAACTGACGTATTTGTCATCTAACAGGGTACGGACAGATCATAGCTCTTTTCTCTTTTAATCATCTAGTGACTTTGGTTTCGTGTATTAGCGTCCCTGACATGACATTGCTGTCACGTCACATTCATAGGCGTTAAAAGAGATCTTACAAAATTGTAATTTCATACTTGATCTTAATACGACATTATTCAATTCTGTTTTGGAAGGATGGTAAAATGTGCTGCGTTAGGCTGTATCAATCAGTTCGATGGCAAATTTGAATTTGTCAGCTTTCCATCAAATGCAAATGAACTTAGAACATGGAAAGTGAAGTGACCGAATGGGGAAAATTGGTAAATACAACAGCAAAATATTCGAGATAAAACGAATACGAAATCACATATTATACTTTCTCATTGTGCCTATAATTATCCATTCCACAAGTTTTTGAATGCATTTCAGTAGAAACAATTTTGATTGAAACGGAGTATTAAAAGTAGAGGCATATGCCCTACCATTAGAAAAATTATACATACATTCAGGAAATATTAGGTATTCGTGAAAAACTGCAAAAATGATTCCCAACATGAATATATACAGTACACATGACATATGAACACATTAATTTAAATACCTACATTACATTTCTCACCATTTATCAACCATAAGGCTTAAACTTCCAGAAAAATTTGTTCACTGCCTCAAAAATATTATGCTGGAGTTGAAAAATCAAAAACTCGAAAATTATCATCATCATTTGGATATAATAATAATGTAGAGTTGAATGAGAAATCACATGTGGAAATTACGTATGACACGTCAATGTCCTCTATATAACCTAAAAAAACAACAAATGTCAGAAATATCGTGTTTATCCCCAGAAATGAATAAAGATGGAACTATATAACTGTTTCACTAACACTTTAGTGTGATAGGAGACGAGGATCTGTCCGTACCCTGTTAAGATGAAAAATACGTCAATTTACATCAAGGGACCCTAAGTTGAAGCGCCTTAAGCAAGGAATGTCCGCCACGGAGTTCAGACGAACCGACAGCGAGCTGTGTATGTTTTCTGCTGGAGCTGCTCCATTTGACTGGATAGACTTCACAAAAATAGTCATACAATTTCGGAATTATATGCTTGAAACCCCTGATTATATAAGTACACTGACAAGATGAATCTCAATGGTGAAGCTTGATGATACTCCCGTCTACTAAGATATTATAATATTTTCTACCGAATGGCGGCAACCAATCTGTCAAGTGCAGAACTTTCTAGCAATGTACAGGGCATCCAATTTTCGTTGAGACTGCTAGGTTTCTCGGTTGTTCTTTTCACGTTCCTGTCCTACTTTTTTGTGAAACTCGAGATGGTCTAACCAGATTCTACATAACTGTTTCCGCTTATAAGATTCAGAGCGATTTTGTATAAGAGAATTTCGCGCAGAATCTAGTTCTCACGTGTACAGTTTCTCATTTCTTTCAATCCTGGCATTTTTGACGAACCAAAATTTACATCTTTCCCAACAAATTTGAATGTTATATTTCATTAGTGATGGTGATCATCAACAATCTAATAGCGTTCACCACTCGCCGATTTACAGAGCGCACTAGATCAGAACAAGTACAATGTGGCACTGGCTCGGTTCTTCCATAAAGTGCGGTTCCAGCACAGAGCAGTGAAATAAAAATAGATAGTTGGTGCGACCTTCTTGTCATCAGAAATGTCAGAATAATTGTTTTGTCAATCAAAAAGTTGAATTATTGAAAATACATTTGGTTCCGTTGGTCCACATGAAATGGATTCATCTACCTTTTATTGTGGTTTCCCTGTGAACACTGCCAGAAACCAGCCAGAAACAGTCTTGTATATGAATGTTCATTGTCAATGATGTTCAATTGAATCATTCGACAATAGTGATGTAGCATTGAAGTGTCGTTCGCGAAATTAGTATTTTTCATCATTACTGAATCAATAATCAAATATGTTTAATACTCTGAGCGGGCATCGAGCAAGTTTGAAAGCCAGTGAAAATCATTCCTCGACAAAAGTTCGCTCTTGAAATTCTCAGTGGACCACGCAAAACGAACTCAGTGCCGAAAACGTTCGAGCTAGTGCGACGAGTAGAAAACGCTACAAGAGAATGTCGCGCAGAATCTAGTTCTTACCTGTACAGTTTCGAGAAATACAGATTTTTCTCATTTCTTTCAATTTTGGCATTTATGACGTACCAATTTTCACATCTTTTTCAACAAATTTCAATGTTATATTTCATTAGTGATGGTGATCATCAACAATCTAAATAATGACAGCTTTAGCAAGATTGTTTTTGAAGTCCTTACCTTTTTGCGTTCCTCCACAGCATACAGCAAACAACTAATAGAACAATCAGCAGAAGACAGAATCCGGAGATACTGAAGAATGCTATTTGAAGAGGTGTGCTAGGTTCCCACCAAAACTGAAAAAAATATAAACTTCAAGTATACCATTGAAGTTCTTCCAGCCATTGAAAGAATTCTCAGGAAATACTGTTGTCGGTATAAAAAAGTGTTAGGTGGCGCAAGACGCAAGTGAATTAGTTGAATTAAAATAATGTGATATTGTCGCAACTCAGATGATGACCCTCCTATAGGTCGTAACTTAGCTACTGGCTTGGCTTTTTGACAAGAGGTTTCGAACATTTAACCACCCAGCCACATTCATCTCCAAATAAAGAGTCAGTACAGTTTTCATATCAAATTTGACATTTATTGATTAAATGGAAAAATGAAAACAACGCAAAACAACACTTGAAAAAAACAGTACTTACATTACAACGTCTAGCACGGGTTTGACCAACAGGATTGAAGTCGGGGAGACGGCGAATATTAATAATTGATAATTACTAATGACTTGTATTAATAATGATAATGCCTTATCGACTTGGGTACTATTTATATTCGGAATCGATGCTAGGTTTGCAATTTTCCGCAATGGGAATGTCCATTACCTTTCGATATTTCTTATTATCGCACGGTACGCGGTTTTGCAAAGTCTATAAACTCCGCTGACCTGATCGAAACTACACTGTACTGGATGTTTTAATTTGGAAAAGTTAATTTATAATTAAAGATCTTGAAATGAACGCAAGTTTGAGTGATGTTATTCCATTGGCATTTGTACTTCTTGACAATATTTGGAGTGAAAATTTGTTGAACGATCCAGGAGGCGTTCAATAATTGTTATTGGGTGCGTATATTAATATTATAGTTATAGTATTGTGTTTCGGACGTTGATATGTGTTTTGGATTCCATGAACTCCGTATTGATCATTACAATATTACTCGATTAATTGAGGAACTTCTGGTAGACTAGGCAGAAAAGTGGGGGCAGAGAAATAATGTTTTTATTGCACTGATGCATGGTCTAACGACCAATATACTGTCTGGAGAATAGAATCACCGTCATTCTTCCACACCCATAGTCCATAGTGTCGGAGCTGAATTAAAAAAATAAACAAACTACCCCACTTTCGAAGTTCAACACAGCAATAAGGAATGACAAACTAGACACAATAACGAATGATTTTTCTCATCGTCCATCTTCTTGTGATTATGTTGAGAAAACTTGATGTGATAAATATGTGTGTCAAGTATGGACAGGAATACAAAAAGGTCTAGGGTTATGACTCAAAAAATACTCAGCTTCAGCAGTTAGAGCTCTGAATTAATAGGTGCATTTTTTTGGCTTCTCACTGGTGGCAGTAGAATTGACGACCAATAAAACGATGTGATTCATTTTGAGAGTTGTGACAGTCAGCTGATCTTTTTTAGGTTATATAATAATAATATAATTCTGGGATGTTGCTGTTCATTGGTACATAATTATAATTACAATTTATAATGGTCCAATAATGGATCTTGTTCACGCTTTCTTGTTATCCTCATTATTAGTAGAAGTACCTATAGATCAGAAGGCAAAATACATTGATATTCATAGATGAAATTGACCCCTTGATACTAGAGAGGGTTTTATACTTGTAAGAATCTTCTGATGTTATCTACAGGAATAATTTACTGAATTTATGTCAATACTTTCAAATTCTCTAGCATTATCATACCAAAAATTCAAAATTATTATGAAGAAGTAATACCTACCGCAAATGAAAGTATTCTGGGTAGATATGTGAACAATTCCAATATATTTCCTGAGGCGAGTTCACTTTTAGGCAATTTTTAAGTCAGATTTCGAGGTCAAAGTATCTGAAATACCGCCATCTCCGCCATTTCATACACTCCCTCCACAATCGTCTTCCTGTCATTCCGTATGAGAAGACGGAATGAAAAGTTTGATCCAGTTTCAGAATTTCGTTCAATAAAACGACATGAATTGTCATTCCTGTGGAAGAATCTTGCCAATAAAACGCACCTAATGTTGCTCATGAATAAACCAGAAATATAATGAAGAGAAAATTCCCAATCGAAAGACCAGAGAAAAAACTTACTTCGGTCGTCGGTGGATAGGTAGGCACCAAGTGTCCCACCACGGTCGGTATGTAATGCGTCCAGAAGGCCGTTTCTGTTTGCCGATAGTTCCACATTATGGAGGAATTGTACGTCGTGTTCAAATTCAGGTACTTCAGCTGACCGTGTTTGCTCTCCTCGAAATGCAGTCCTAATATCTGAGTGTGCGATGGATTGCCGTACCTCGCGAAGTCTGTATAAGCCTTCATGAAGAAATGGCTCATATTCCTGTCAAAACATATTTGGTGGTATTATCAATAGTGATCGACAGTTTCCACGAAGTGGAAGTTTTTTTACTAGAAAATTCTACTGAACTACGCAACATTAATTTCGTCGCACCCCAAAATTTTGTCACTGTTGAAATATGAATAACTTTTTTCTGTTTTGAACAATTTGAATTCGGATTACACTGTTCGCTAGCCCAGTACTTCAGCTATAATCTCGTACTTCTTTAAAGCATGAGGTTCTTCATATAAAATCGCTACAGGGTGTCACTTGAAACTGAAAAATTTCGGAATTTTCAGAAGGATCCCTAATGAACAAAAACTTCTTTTTTCAAGTTTGACAGCACAGAATGAAGTTGATCTCATTACCTAGGGACATTTTTCAAATTGTCTTCTCATCTCTTTTATTAACAGTGATCTCAAAAAATTAACTTTCTGGTTTTGCAGTCATAACTTTTTTCCTTGTCAACCCGTTTTTAAAATCTCATTTTGGAGCTGAACCTTCAGACGAAGAGTTATGAAGATCAGAATTGACTCAATATGAACATTATACAGTGTGTTTCACTTCTAATGGAAGCACCCTTGTATGTTTCGTAATTGTTGAGTTAGGATTCTGAAACTCACAGGAGCGGGAGATATACAGAAAATAAAAACTATGACCAAGTGGAGTCATCTCCAGTGATAAACACTGCTTGCCAACAGCCATGGAACCACCCAAATTTCCGGAAAATGTTATTAGGAGCGAAGATAGGTTGAAAATCACTTCGGATTCGAAATCAGGACGTCCAATTTTCAGTTCAGAAAAATTAAATGTTGTTTCACTTCTTATGGAAGCGACCCCCCCCCCCCCATATCTCATGCAATTATTGAGGCTGAAATTTGCAGGAGGAAGCGGAAGGGACGTCCTGATTTTGAATCCGAAGTAATTTTCAACCTATCTTGCCTCCTTATATCATTTTGGTAGGTGATTTCCATTACTTTTGGCAAGCAGTGTATATCACTGGAGACGACTCCAAATGGTCATAGTGTGTATTTTAAGTATATCTACCGCTCTTGCAAATTTCAGAATCCTAACTCAACAATTACGAAAGATACAGGGGTGCTTCCATTAGATTTCAAAAATCGGTTGACGAGGAAAAAAGTTATGACTGCAAAACCAGAAAGTTAATTTTTCGAGATCACTCTGTGAATACAAGAGATGAGGAGACAATTCGAGAACTGTCCCAAGATAATGATATCATCTACATGCCTCTACAGTCAAAGTTGAAAAAATAAAGTTTTTCTTCATTTGGGATACTTTTGAAATTTCCGAAATTTTGCACAGTTTCAGGTAACACCCTGTAGCGATTTTATGTGAAGAACCTTATGATTTAAAGAATTACAAGATTATAGCTGAAGGACTGGGCAAGCGAACAGTGTGATCCGAATTCAAATCGTTCAAAGCAGAAAAAAGTTATTCATATTTCAACAGAGGCAAAATTTTGGGGTGCGACGAAATTAGTGTTGAGTAGTTTGTCTATACCCAAGAAAATGGTGACCTTGACACAGTCATCAGGCGCTTATGAAATGGAAAAAAAGTTCTGTGATGAATATTACGACGCAATAAAGCCTCTTCATCTCTTTAACAATAACAAATCGTCTGAAAACTAGATTGGCAACTTGATATGTTGCTGCTACTTTGCTCTAATAGTTAAATGTGTACTGTTTCATCGGTATTGATAAATATCAGATTCAAAACATGAATGAAGGATCTTTTTTCAAGGTGAAAAACTTTGGAAATCATCAACGTCGAATAGGAAATGATCCAGAAATCCGCAAATTTGCTGTTTGATTGAAAAAAATTCTATATATGTTAATGGGCAAGATATCTAAGATTTTAATATTGGTGGTACCAACAATCATCACTCCAACTCCATAAGAATAGTGACCTTGGAGCAGTCATCAGCCATATCTTGTAGGAAAATGAAAATTTGACAAGCTCCAAAAACTGCACGCAACAACAAAATATTCTACTGGATGAATTTTCATTTGAGGAACTTTCGAAATGTCATATCTGCTTGACAAATTGCTGTACTTGTCTCAAACTTAAGCCAATGCAATACTAGTTGTATTGGCACTGTTTCATCCATATTAAGATTTTTCAAAATCAATACATGAATGAGGAATCCATTTTCAAGGTGATAAACTTTATTTGAGATTCAGCAATATCGAATAGGAGATGCCTAGGAGATGGAAAACTACATAATATGGATGTTGATGGAAAATAAATGTTGGCAGTATAGCCTTCACAAAGACATTTGAGACAAATTTTACAAAAAATATCGGCGGCCGCGGTGAATCTCTTGATCAAGCTGTAGCTAGTGACTTTGTAAAGACTATACCGACTATCAACACTCCATACTCATGAGAACAATAACCTTGGAGTAATCATCAGGCGCATTGTATACGCGAATTAAAAATTCGAGTGGTTGAAAAAAAAATTGTCAACAATAGCAAATTTCCTACAGGATGAATTTTTATTTGAGAAACTTGAAATATCATCAACTTGGCGATTGTTATTACCTATCTGAAACCTAAACCGTTGCAATACCAGTTGTATTCGCACTGTTTCATCGGCATCGAGAATATTGAAAATCAATACATGAAGAATCATCTCCCAAGGTAAAAACCTCGTATAAGAGATAATACATGATAGTTCCACAACTTCCTGTTTGAACACCTTTACATAAACAATCAACAGATCGTAATTGTCAACGAAATAAAAGACCTTGGCATAATTTTGGATCGAAAGCTTATGTTCGAAAGTCACATTGAAGGTACAGTCAGGAATTCCTTGAAGAAAACATTAGGTTTCATCCTACGTAGTACTCATGACTTCAGAAATCACACTTCAATTTCAACAATGTACAAAACTTTAATGAGACCTATCCTCCAGTATTATACTGTAATATGGAATCCTCTTTATGACAAATATGTTGAAGGAGGTTGATTAGTAATCTGAATTATCGTTTTTTTCGTCATAGGCATTATGTTAATTATGAAGTGAACCTTAATTTCTACAAATTGGAACCGTTATTCTTGAGACGCGAATTCTTTGACTCGTCTTCTGTGTTCAAACTTATAAAAAATCTCACTGACTCAGAATTATGCTTGCAACAACTATCACCAAATTGTAGTCCCGTATTTCACGAAATCGACCAATATTCTATCCACCACCATATTCGACAAATTACTATTGTAACTCTCCCCTTATCATATGCATGAACTCCTATAACATAATCTGTGACCATGATATTGACATCTTCAGCAACAATTTCACAAGGTTCAAGAAACAAGTACAAATTAATTACATTATATGGTAGAGCTGCCACTTATGGCAGCAATATACTCACTACATTCAGGTATATATTTTTTTCTTCTTTTCTTTAATCCTCAATAGGAGTGGTAGTTCAATAAATGATATTTATATTGTTACATTGTGTATAACCTTTAGCGACTAGCATAAGTCAAATTGTAAAACCATAGCTGTACTTTGTGTCACCCTGTAATTGGACAAGCTTTCTGTTTGTCTGTTGGGTGTCTTCATGAATCAATTAAATGAATAAATAATGGTGGTACCAATTATCAACACAACAATGACCTTGGCGCAGTCACCAGGCGCATTGTGTACGAGAACGAAAACTCGACTAGCTTCAAATAATTCGTACAACAACAACGAATATTCAACTGGGCGGATTCATAAATCCCATTATTTTTCTAGGTGTCTTACCTGTCGTTTCTCGTCCACTGGTCTCTGACGAATCGCTCCCTCGAAGGTAGCATTTCCACGTCTAAAAAGGGTGCGCCACAGAGCAGATAGTGCTCCGTGTCGTGGGGCACCTTTCTCCACTCCTCCCATTTGAAAGATTCGATCGTCGTGTTTAGCACGTACATATACACCGGCACGTTTTGCTCCACCAACAGTTTGATCATTTTGTCGTTTGGGGCGGTGTATAAGAAGTCCGAGAGCAACTGCAAAAGCCAAGATTTATCTTGTTTCTGAGATGATATTCATGTGGAAGATGCCTGTTACTTACTTGAATATATTGTTCTCTGATATGTGTCACATTGTGCGGATCCGGCCAATACGTATACATGTATTTGATGGCCTCAAAGGTACCGTTGGGGTTCAAGGTGTAATTGTATCTCAACACCAGTTCTCTTATTTTCTGATCGAAAAACTCTTCATTGACAATGAAATTCGGTTCTAAGCTTTTGTTGGTAGCTGAAAAAAAACGACAAATACAATTTTAACAAAATGGAGAAATTAAGTAACTTAGAATAATGGGTGTAACAAGCTAGTTTCCAGAGTTCAAGAGCGCCCGACCGTTACCACCGATAAAACAAGGCCAGCAGACTCTGACGTAAACAGCTCGTGACGTCGCATACTCAGGCCATCTTCCAAGGCATTCGCGTCGATCGATCGTCAGTTTGTTTTTGTTTAAGAACGGTGGCGTAGGTAAATCGCGTGTGCTCGAATTCTCTTGTTGTTTATTCATCAAAATAATTGGCGGAGAAATGTTAATGGTACTCTTTGTGTATCTGCAGAGATTGCTTATTATGGAACGATGTAACACCTTTTTATTATATCGAAAGAACTAAAAACAACATCATAGCAACTGTATACAGAATGTATCAAATAAGATGAATGAAGATTGTTTCTTCAACAGCCTCCCTCAATCTGAATTCTTCATAAACATAGATGAAAGATAAGCAAACTGCTCCTTTTTCAGTGGCTTAGTAAGCAAATCCGCAACATTTTCTTTAGAAGCGATATAAGCAATGTCGACATCTTGGCTAAGAATTCGTTCTCTGACATAGTGGTAGTGCACATCAATGTGCTTACTTCTCTGATGTAGAACAGGATTTACTGATAGATGGATTGTTGATTGATTGTCACACAGCAACAATGGACAAACTTCTTGACCCAAATCCTTCATCAGCTGAGATATCCACATTGCTTGTCTGCAAGAGGCTGACACAGCCATATATTCAGCTTCAGTCGTTGATACTGCCACACTCTGTTGCTTTTTCGAAGACCAACATACAACTGATCCACCATAAAAAACCATGTATCCCATATAAGATCTTCGGTCATCCAAGGAGTTTGCAAATGAAGCATCGCTGTAAATTCTCAATGCAGGTGTTTTTGTTCGCTTAAAAATGAGTTTTTTGTCCATAGATCCTCTCAGGTAGCGAAAAAGATGATGAATCAAGTTTTGATGAATAGTAGTTGGATCAACACAAAATTGTGATAAAATATTTACGGTATACGTAATATCGGGTCTTGTTCCCAATGCTAGATACAAAAGACTGCCAATTTGAGATTGATACAATTTCTTATCTGCCCTAGAATCATTATGTTTTGCTTTCTCCAGTTTTGCTCCAGGATCCATAGGAACTGGGGAGGGTTTACATTTATGAAACTGATATTTCTCTAGTAACTGAATCAGATATCGATCTTGCGATAAAGTTAGATAGTCATCATGCCAAGTGATTTGAATAGACAGGATATATTTTGGTATTCCCAAAAATGTGACTTCGAAATGTTTTACTAACACATCTTCGATGATCTTGATTTTTTCTTCTGATGAACCTAGCAGAAGCAAATCGTCTACATAGACAGCAACAATCTGGCATCTGTCCACAGATGTGAATAAACAAGGATCTGCAACAGATTGTTTGAGCTCGATTTCCTTCAACACCATCACCAGTTTCTGATTCCATTGGCGAGGTGATTGTTTGAGACCATAAATGCTCTTATTCAATCTACACGCCCTGCCAGGTTTTTCACATAATCCTTTAGGAATTCTCATGAATACTTCCACATCAATATCTCCATTTAAAAAAGCAGTTTTGATATCCATTTGTCTCGATAGCATTTTGTTTTGTATGGCATATACTAATAACATTCGGATGGTTTCATATCGAACCACTGGGGAAAATGTTTCAGCAAAATCAATTCCGGGTACCTGGCTGAAACCTTGAGCCACAAGACGTGCTTTGTATCTGGAAATGTCACCATTTTCTGATAGTTTCTTCTTAAACACCCATTTACTTCCCACAATTCTCTGATCAGGAGGTACTTCAACGATATCCCATACTCTATTCTTCTCCATAGAGATGAGCTCTTCAGAAATAGCTTGTTTCCACTCATTAGCTTCAGGTCCAGATATAGCTTCCTCGAATGATATCGGTTCTTCTAAAGCTAGATTGCAAAATTCTTCGTGAAATCTTATTGGGGGAATATGTTGCCTTGCACTTCGCCGTAGAGGAATATGATTATCTGGAGTATTATTTTCTCCAGCGAAACTGTCTTCGTCATTTTGAGTGACATGTTTGTCATTTTTGGTAGTTTTCAGGTCTGATATATCTTCTGAATCATTCTTATTATATTCAATTTTCTGAATTTGTTTATTTTTGTTCGAGCTGCAGTCACCATTTTCTTCCTGGAATTCTTTTTCTCTAACTTTTCCTTCATACAATGGGTTCATAATTATTGCTCCATCATTAACAGGTGAGAAAGAGTAGTCTCTAGTGATTATAACTTTGTTTCCTGTCCAGAAGCGATACCATCCTTCCTTAGCACCATATCCAACCAAGAATGCCTCGTAGGCTCGCTCCTTGAATTTATCACCTTTTCTTCGTATTTCATCTAGAATATGGATGAAAGCACTTTCACCAAATACTCTTAAATGGCTTATGGACGGTTTTTTATCATAAAACATTTCGAAGGGCGTTTTTCCAGTGAATGCATGAGGAAGGTGATTTTTGGTGTGAACTGCATAAGCTATGGCTTCTGCCCACAAAGATTCAGAAAGTCCAGAATCAATAATATTTGTTCTAGCCATCGTAGTTATTGTTCTGTTGAAACGTTCAGCTAATCCGTTGGTTTCATGCACTCGTGGAATAGAATGTTCTGATTTTATACCAATACTTTCGAAATATAGTTTCAACGAATTAGAATTATACTCTCCTCCATTATCGGATTTGAAAATTTTTATCTTCTTCCCAGTCTGACGTTCCATTCGAACGATGAATTCTTTTGTAGCATCTTCAACCTCACTCTTTTTTGATATGAATTTGATGTCGGCATATCTAGAGTACTCGTCAATGAAGGAAACATAATAGCTCTTGCCTCCTACAGACTTTGTGGGAAACGGTCCAGCCACATCAGAATGAATCTTCTCTAATATTCCAGAACAGGAATTTCCTTCTCGTCTGCTTATTTTTCTTGTCATTTTAGACTTTTTACAGGATATACAGTCAATTTCACCTTTTTCTGTTGGTAACACACATGGATCTGCTACTGATTTCCGAATTTCACCAAACAAGCTAAGTGGAGCATGACCTAGTCTTCTATGCCAAGTCGAAATACTAACATTGGCTACGTCTTCACTTGCCTCCTGGAAAATATTTTCCTTATTCTTCGATAATATCCAGCCTACCATTTTAGAATTCTTCCATAACGTAATATCTTCATCACCCCTCATTGAAATTCCTTTGGATTTTATTGTTTCCCAAGATATCAATGAACATTTCAATTCTGGTGAGAAAAGAACATCATGTAGGGTAACATTTATTGTAGATCCTATAGGTAGCAAGGCCTTCAACTTGACATCCCCAATGTGAGTTACTTCAACTTTATCATTATTACCAAGTCTTATGAACCCTTTATAGGGATGGAGATTTACAAACACATTCTTATTTCCTGTCATGTGTGACGTAGCTCCTGTGTCGAAAATCCATTTATTGGAAGCTTGCTTTGAAGGAGATGCTGGATAAGCCACTTCATCGTCTGAATTATCACTGAATACTATGTTAGCCTTCTGTTCATCCCTTTTTTTATTTCTACAATTTTTTATTGTGTGCCCTGTGTACCATTTCTTGCGTTCCTTGCAATAATGACACTCTTTTGGAAATTGTCTTCTTTCTTTCTTCTCCATCCCAACAAATGCTGTACTGTCTTGGGATGTTGATGGTGTTGATGTTGATAATTCCAAAAGTCTCGAACAAACATCATCATAAGTTAGGTTCTGCTTAGTTTTCAAATTATCAACGATGTTTTCAAGTTCATCGGGAAGGGTAGTTAAAAATAATGAACCTTTTGCTGCCGAAGAATTGGCGAGGGGGCGTATGGCTGCTTCAAGTGAATCTTTGACCTCAGGAATTGACTTTTTAGCAGTTCTTTCAACAAGCCTCGACCAGAGTTCGTTATACTTAGAAATATGATCTGCTATGTGATGTTTCGATTCACATTTGATACCCACTACCGATTTCACCAATGCATGCAATGAATATTCATTTTGTAATTTGAGATACAATATTAGAATCGACATTGAAGAGTAAAAACGCCCTTGCTAGTGAATGTCGGTAGCGCCAGTTTTCACATTTTTCTCGATGATCTTCCATTTTTACGGAGTAATCAGCATCTGTTGATTCTACTTGGGTACACATTCCTGCAGGATCCCTCTCTTCGCCAGTAGCTATTCGATATAAGTTATAAACATCCATATATGCAAAAACCATAGTTTTCCATGAGTGAAAGTTCGATATCCCATGTAATTTTTCGAATTTTGGAAATTTATCCATTTTGACAATTTATGATGTCTTTGACAGCTGGAAATTATTTTTCAATCCAAATGATAAGATATATTTCGAATATGGTATTTTCAGCTTTTCAGAATACTGCTAGATGTTTCAGCGCCAGCCTGGGCCTATAACCTGTTAATGGTACTCTTTGTGTATCTGCAGAGATTGCTTATTATGGAACGATGTAACACCTTTTTATTATATCGAAAGAACTAAAAACAACATCATAGCAACTGTATACAGAATGTATCAAATAAGATGAATGAAGATTGTTTCTTCAACAAGAAATTACTGTTTTGTAAAATATTTCGTGTTGTGATAACAATAACAATGCCTTACAAGTGTTGTGTTCCCTTTTGTCGGGGGAATTATGTGGGTGGTCCAAAAGTTCATGCTTTTAGTTTTCCGTTGGACAAGAAACTATCGAAAAAGTGGGTACATGCAATTCACCGCAAGGATTTTACGACTCCATCTAAGTACAGTAAAGTATGTGAATTACATTTTACTAAAGATGATATTATTACTTCATCTACTGCAACCGATTCAAAAACTGGAAAAACTGTAACATTAGATTTGAAAATTCCTAGGCTGAAACGAGATGTTATTCCCACTCAATTTCCCAACTGTCCATCTTATTTATCGAAAGATGTAAAATTACGCACAAGTCGTGATGAAAAACTTGAGATACTAGAGACTAAAAATTTGGCACAAGCACTTACCAAAAGTAAAACTGAATTCGAAAATTACCAAAAATCATTTTGCTACACAGAATTTCAAGAATTTCTAGTTGTATTAGAATCTTTTCAGTTGCCCGAAAAGTGGTTCAAAATTATCGATTTGCAAAAAGTCACATTATTCAAATTGTCTTATTCTCCAGGGCCTGTAATTACATATTCGGTTGTGATTGATTTTGTTTTGAATGTGGAATCATTTTTGTATGACCTAGCGATACAAACATCTCTAAAAGCCAATCTGAAAACACCTTTTATCTCTAATAATATCAATCAAATCAAGGAATTACTAATTGAAATAGATAAAAACGAGATACATAATTCGGGAAAATGTCTTGATAATCAGAAAAAGAGGGTTTTGAAACATATTTCGAATGCATTGGACTCTTTGGTTTCTGACTCAATACATTCTCAAATTTCTTTCTGAAAACGGTCATTTGCCTCGTGGCAATGAATGCAGAATTCATTCCAATGATCAAATTGCAACTATTATATTAACATGTACTACAAACACTCTACTTAAAAATTACTGTTTCAAGTCTAACGACCAATTGGGTGAAAAATCCAACAACAGGAAATTGAAAACACTCACTGGCTAATTTTTTAGGTAATAGGAATTCTCCAAGATAAATATAGGTAATTAGGTATAACAAACGGCATGTCTATCAAACTAAAATACATTTTCCCCAATTTTCTTTCGATCAATCTCATGATAAGTTTATTTTCTGCGGGCCCTGTATAAGTAGGTGTGAAGTTTACCTCTAATGAGATTGAATCACTACAATTTTTGCCAATATATTTAATTCGAATGGGTTGCTGTAGGTGGGTATTTGTGTTTTATTCTGGTTTTTGCTTTGAAACTTCGTTTTTCCATAATAAAATCGAATGGGATGCGAAGAAGGGCTCAGTTGACTGCTGGCATCCTCTTTCAACCGGAAGCCCTTCAAAAAAAAAGCAAAATCGGCTCAATAATGACCTAAAACTAAAATCGAAATACGCGGTCGCCTTATAGAGCTATAAGCGCTTGTCGTTTCGAGCCGCTGGTTAGGCCTGACTAAGTGACGTCACCCACGGAGCATGCAGGCCTTGTTTTATCGGTGGTAACGGCCCGACTCACCACCGCGAGGTCATTGGTTCGAATCCCAGCCGTCACAAGAAACTTTTTTTAATATTTGATTTACGAATTCAATATTGTAAAGTTCCGGAGCATCGATTAGGGATAGTCCTGCACGATTCACTGTTGCTCTCCAATTAACAGTGCTGCTCCTAAAATAGCGCATGGAGTTAGTGAAAAAAACCCACATACATAGAACACATAGGAAGAAATGATGATGATGTGGTTGATCAAAGAAGAAGTAGGACGGTGAAAGCAGACTGAGTGTGAGAGTGGGCCAATACTGTTTAGTGGGCCTCTAATGGGGGTTAACGAGGTAGCTGGCAGGCCTGCCACTGCAGCATATGGTAGTTGTGTACATTACTAGCCTACAAAACACAATCTGAATAATCAGAAAGAGAACTGATGGACGGTACCTGAAAAGGGTGGTAGCCAGCTCTTTTGAGTGAACCACATCACTCTTTACAAATTGAAGCTAGCAAGAAGGTCCCATTAGGGACAAATTGCGGACGTGCAATCGTGCGAACGTTCACAACTGCTACCAGTATCAGTAGTTTCCAGAGTTTCAAGAGTGTATATTTTATCCGTAGGCTCAAATTTTACTTCAAAAAATCGTAGAATTAGTTCTGGCTCGTTGATCATTCTGCTGAAGTCACGTCGCGATTTTGCTAGTGCGACTGTGAGAAATTTTGCACTGACTATAATGAGACTCTATTGAAATATTGGCTATGTACTTGAATAGGATATTTTTTTTAATCCTGATATCCTGATAAGTTGAAAAGTATGAACAAAATTATTCACGAGATAATTAAATAGTTCAGATGCCTCATGAATTGACGAAACGTAGATAAATATATTTCAATACAATAGACATGATGCTCAAAGTTGAATCTTGATAGAATTAAACTGGAATTTTTATTCGAGAGGTTTTGAAGTCGATGATTTTCATTGTTTTCAAGACATTAGTGAATGAAATATGGCGCCCACAATTTTACTTACAATCACTTTATACCAAACTTTACCGATAGCTGTTTTCATTGAGGTTATGTTCTCATTGTTTCTCAATTCCTATATTTCGGCAATAGGAATTTTATTTATTTACTTCTTACAAACATACTGGGTAATTACATGTAAGGCAGCTTACTGACTGAGAAAATGGTTATTTAGAATATCTAATGAAACAAAATAGAATAATATAGTTACATCATAAAATACAAGAACGAATCAAACATGAGGACCTATACTACACAAATACTATCTAGGTTCATCTTCAAATTCCATTTGAGATTTTGTAATAAAAGTTGTCCTGATTGTTCGAGGACTAGTATTGAAGCTGAGGAGCTGTATATATATCAAAGAAAAATAATGATCTGTTCAATATTCGCAAATTAATTTTTGGTAATGTAAAACTTATGAAGTTGATCATTTGACAATCTTTGTACCTAGTATTACTGGTGATAAAATATATACATAAAACAGACTGTACAACTCTCCTTTCATTCAAGGATTGTAGGTTCTCGTCATCATAGATTCATAAGACACCCTATACGGGTAAGTATCTTTCAGGTACAAGTATCTTAAGAAGCGTTTTTGCACTTTTTCTCTCAAATCTTAATGACTTTTCATCTAGGATGCCCATATTACTGATGCATACTCCAAATGAGATCTAACTAGAGCATTCAGCATATAAGAATCATTTCAATAAGCATTATAAATTGCAAACACATCAAGCTAATCACGCTGCATACACGTAACTGATCAATCAAATGAATAAAGTTGTAATTTTTTCTACTAGCGTGCGGAAAAGTCGACCTTGTCGCACTCATTTCAGTGTTTAAAGAGCCATTTTCCTCCGCTTGTAAGATAAACTATTAAATTATTGAATGGCAAAGAAGGAAACATCACCATTGTTATATTCCTCAGAATGTAATGCAATAACTGGAATAAAAAAAATAGTCATATCATAGTGTGAAGAAAGATTTCTTTGAGAAAAATCACAGAGACTCACTTATAAAACTGGCTGCCTCCTGCAACGTCACGCTCGTCATGTACCTCAACCCCTCATTGAACGCCCTCTTTTTCATCAACTCCTCGGCGCCCTCGCTCATGAACTTCCAGTCTCCCTCCAGCCAGCCCTCATAGTAAGGCATCGTGACGTTAGCGTCTATCACCGGCGCCCAAGGAAACAGTCCGACGTCGGGCGGAAAAACGGCGTTGCCTATCTCGAAGGCGCTCCGGGAGTTCTGAAGAAAAGAGGGATATCACCTTCTAAATTCGATTTGTTTGGATGGTTTTGCCCTCATACTAAATTCATTCATGAAGCATCAAAAAGTATACATACGCCAATAATTCTGAACGCCAAACACGGATGAATGAATAAATGAAATCGTAAATGGTGGGGATAACTCTGCCTCTCGCGTTGAGTTTGGTGAAGTAGAGGCACGTTCTGAGATCAGGTTATGTCGTGCGCTCCAAGCGATAAAAAAAAAGTCACAGAGAGTCTTCCATAAATCATAAGCATATAATTCTGTCTCTCGTGTTGAAATTACTCTCGGACCGGCTCTCAAAGGTCACACTGCGTCTAGATCAAGGAGTGGTGCTGAAACGGATGTTGTTACAAGATTGAGTTCGGCGATAAATGAATGAAATCGCGAATGGTGGGGACATCTCTGCAAAATCATTCATCTAATGAGTGGAGATTTTATGAAAGTGAAAGAAATGAAATATCATTTGCGTTATTAAGTATTTGCTATCACTCATGAACTTCTAGTCGCTTTCAAGCCAGCCCTCGTAGTGAGGCATCGTGACGTTGGCGTCGATTACCGGCGCCCACGGGAACAGCCCGACGTCGGGCGGAAAATCGGCGTTGCCTATCTCGAAAGCGTTCCGGGAGTTCTGAAGAAGAGAGGGAATTGGCCTTCTAAATTCGATTTGTTCGGATAGGGGATAACTCTGCCTCTCGCGTTGAGTTTTGCGAAGGAGAGGCACGTTATTAGATTGGGCTAGGGCTTAGACTAAATAACAATATATAGTAACCGCGATTCATTCATAAATCATTGAAGAGTATACGCCAACAAACCTAAACGTCAATCATAGATATATGAATGAAATAGCGAATTATGCGGATAATTCTGCCTCCCGTGTTGAAATTTATTCTCGGACCGGGTCTCACTACGGGAACAGCAGCGTTGGTCCTTCTAGAAAGATCGGTGGTGCTGAAACGGATGTTACAAGAATGAGTTAGGCGAAGTAGGGGCACGTTATGAGGTCAGAAATCATTGAAAAGTAAATGCAAACAATCCTCAACATCAAACACGGATAAATGAATGAAATCGCGAATGGTGGGGATAGCTCTGCCTCTCGCGTTGAGTTTTGCGAAGGAGAGACACGTTATTAGATCAGGCTAGGTGTCAGACTAAATAACAATATATAGTAACCGCGATTCATTCATAATTCATTGAAGAGTATACGCCAACAAACATACACTTCAATCATAGATATATGAATGAAATAGCGAATTATGCGGATAATTCCGTCTCCCGTGTTGAAATTTATTCTCGGACCGGGTCTCACTACGGAAGCAGCAGCGTTGGTCCTTCTAGAAAGAGCGGTGGTGCTGAAACGGATGTTACAAGATTGAGTTTGGCGAAGTAGAGGCACGTTATGAGGTCAGAAATCATTAAAAAGTAAATGCAAACAATCCTCAACACCAAACACGGATAAATGAATGAAATCGCGAATGGTGGGGACAACTCTACGGAATCATTACCGTAGAAGAAATAAATGTTATGTTTTGAGAGCGTTAAATAGGCTTCTACGGACAGTAGCGTGTAAGTACGAGTGCTTGCGGTTAAGTGCTACTTCACGCCTGATCGTGCATAAATACCTTTAGACAGTTGACAAGCTTCCAAGACGACTCGATGCCGCATCCGATCTGCCTGCCGAAGACTCTGCTCGTGTTTTGGGCGCGGTATCGATCGAAGGTCATCGCCCAGTCAGCTAGAGCAGATCCACTCTGAAAGAAGTGTTTAACTAATCTTTACTACAAATATATTTATATCAAACTGATAATTTTTGTTATTAAGACGAGACAAAAATTGAATTGTTCCACCGCCTCGATCAAACCGCAGACAGGATTCCCAAAAGTCTCTCTCAGACTGAATAACAATCTCAAGCCCTGGTTTCTCTGACCAGATCGGCCCGAAATATTTCGGTGATACAGCACAGAAAGTTCGTTAGCGTTTCCGGTGAAACCAAGCGTATTTGTAGAACGTAGTGGCGTTTTGTATAAAAGATCGGACCGAAATTTCGGAAAAAAGAACGGATAACAGTTCGTCGGAATCAACCAGTGTTTGATTTGAACGATTTCAAAACGGCACAGTTCGCCGAAATAGTGTAGTGTGTTTGTTTTCAGACCTAGACAAACAAACAACGTATTTTTTATAATTATAGCGCTAATGAACGTTGAAAGATGTCGTCTGGAAAGAAGTACATCAAATTAGAGTTTTCCTCGTTAGAGGATGAAATATTGATCGAAAAATTAAAAGGAAATCCTCCTTTATATGCAAAGAAATTGAAAAGTTACAAGGATATGAAAATAAAAGGCAACATTTGGATAAAAATTGCAAGGGTAATTGGAGAATGCGGATATAACATATTTTTAGTGCATACTCCTAATAACGCATACTCATCATCGTCATCATGTGCTTCTTCTAAACTCATAGCAATAAAAAAATCCATTTTTTATTTTGACTTTGCCGCAAACACCCTACGAAAATTTTCTTCAGACAACCACACATAGACGAAACTTCTGAAGGAACTGAATCCGGCGAATATCCACGTTCTGTTCGCTGATATTCTCCGAAATATTTCGGGCCGATCTGGTCAGAGAATCCAGGCCTTGAAACGCGAAACACGGCAAAAACGAATGAGATCGCGAAAGATGGGGATAACTCTGCCTCTAGATCGAGCTGTAGTGCAGAAACGGAAGTTGTCACAAAATTGAATTGGGCGAAGTAGAGACATTTTCTGAGATCAGGTTAGGTCTCAGACTAAATAACAATAGATAGACACCGCCAAAAATCCTAAATGCCAAAAAAACGGATAAATGAATGAAATCACGAATGGTGGGGATAACTCTGTGTACTCATTACCAGATGATTCTTTGGAAGAGCACTATCTGATAAATAATCTAAAAATTTCTCTTGATATTATCAACAAACACCTCAAATCTAACTTCATATTGGTAAGGAATTCTCAAATCCATGAACATCATACTATACCTTTTCAAGTTCAAATTGAGACTTATCAATTTCAAATTGGGATTAATCACATCCAAATTGGTAAACAAATTCAAAATGAGAATAAACACAATCAAATTGAGAATAATCATTTTCAAATTCAGAATTAACAGTTTCAAATTGGGAATTAACACTATCAAGTTGATTAACAGAATCAACATAAGAATAAACTCATTCAATTTGGGACCAAACAACTTCAAATTGGGAAACGACAACTGCAAATTCGAATTGTCAAAATTGTGTCAAAATCGAGATTAATTATCAGCGATCATTCATCTTACCTGATATTTTATATAGTTGATATGCCTTACATAAAGAAAAAGGATGCAGACAATATTAGAAAACAAATTTGTGCAGTGTATAATAATAATGGTGATTGGAGGGGACTGGCAGATACACTCGGCGTAAAAAAAGCAACGGCTTATCGATGGGTAAAGAATCGGGACGAAATAGAAAAACAACGGGGAGGAAGAAGGAGGAACAAAATTACTGAAGAACATCACGACATTATTGTTCAGTATATTGAAGAAAACCCCAGGCTCACATTGAAAGAACTGAAACACAAATTCGAGGAAATCCATCAAATTATTGTTTCAACTGAATGTTTACGAAAACATTTAGATTTTTTGTTGTATACACTGAAAGATATTCGTAAAGAACCCGAGAGAACCAATTGCGAAGAAAATAAAATAAGATGACGTGATTATGTACAGCAGCTTTTGAATTATCAAGGGGATAACATTCCAATTATATACATGGCTGAAACCAACTTCAATTTATTTATTTCCCGAAGACAAGGACGCTCTAAAAAAGGAACCTGTTGCAGTTACATTTCAGCTGGTAGCCGTGGGGCAAATATCCATGTCATAGGTTGCATAGGTAATATGGGATTGATTCACCACGAAGTAAAAAGAGGTGCTTTCAGAAAGCAAGATGCTCAAGAATACATTCGCAATTGCTTGAGTACTGCTCGAGATATGTACCAGACGCCTGTAGTGCTGGTGGTGGATGATGCTCCTTGCCATACTGACTTAGAAGAGGTATTTCGAGAGGAAGAGTTTACAGATCACCGATTATTGAGGCTGAGTCCGTATAGTCCAATGTTCAATCCCATTTAACTAGCATGGTCCAGTTTGAAAGCTGCTGTTAAGCGAGATTTATCTGTGCAGTTGCCGCAAATTTTATATATATAGTTGGAGAAGATAGGGCAAATATAACTCAAACTGAGTATCGTATTCGTCAACTGGAAAACATCATACATGAAAACATTAATTCAATTAATATTAATAATTGTCTCAATTTGAAGTTGAAAAGGTATAGACGAAATGACTTGTTTCATCTTGATGCTGCTAATTCTACACTTGGTCAAACAAAGTTCACTCACGGAGATATCTCAAAATTCAATAGATTACCTGATGATATCAAAAGTTGCACAAATATGACCCAATTAAAAATTAAAGTCAAGGAACATATCTTCTTGCAAAGAGAAAATCAAACATGAGTGAACTATAATTTAATTTGATAATGCATGAATAATCTCATACCTGATATGAATCTGTCTGATTATTCATGTTATTCCATTGTAAACGTTAATGATTATATTTATATTTATATGAAATGCAATGTTATGTTTATAGCAAAGAATGAAATAAATAAATAGTTAAATAAGTTTTCACTGCGGTATCTCACCTGCGCGATCACTTTCGACACCATATGCCTCGTTTTTGGAGCCACCATGAGCAGCCCTGCTGAAGCAGCCCCAGCCCCCGCCCCAAACAACGTCAAACTGTCTCTGTCGCCATTAAACTTGTCCGCGTTGTCGTACGCCCATCTGATGGCCATCGCCTGATCCAGCAGGCCGTAGTTGCCCGGCGAGTTGACGTCACCGGTGCTGAGGAACCCGAGCGCCCCCAGGCGGTAGTTGAAGGTGACGACGACTGCCCTGTAGAAGGTGGCGAGGATGTGGCCGGGGAAGGTGTTGGAGGAGCCGTGGATGAAGTCGCCGCCGTGGATGTGGACCATGAGGGGGTATTTTTGGGCGGTGCCTTGCGTCTGGAAGAATATAGAGCGTTGGATAGAACAAATCTCGAAAACTGCTAATTTTGCATTGTTAATCATCTAGACGCACGAAGGTTCCGAATCTATACATATACATATTTTTTCTAGATCCGAAAGAGCATATGTTTTGAGACAAAAATCAAGAATAATTGTTGATTTTGCATTGAAAACAATCTAGGCGCACGTGAAACAACAAAGTTGCATAGTTTCCCGTCAAAGGATCCCGCACCGCAATAGGGGGAAAATTGACTTTCGGTGAATTTTTTGGAATTTTGGATATATCTTAAAACTCGTGATGCTGATCAGATGTCCCAATTATCAACGCTCTAAATTCAATAGTTTGGATTATACAGGGTGCTGAAGTTGACTTTTTCAAAATTTCGAATGACCATTGTGAAGTTTCCTTTTTGAATACCAAAATCAAATCGACTACATATTGTTTGTCCATGTGGCCGGTGAAAATCTACTTAGAGTTCAATGATATCTGCACGTACTCACGATATACAGAGTTGGTCCAAAAATAGCAAATGTTCCAATTATTTCCGAAAAAGTGAGCGGTTGAAATCAATTCATTTTTGGACATTTCGTAGTATACTAATATCAACATCGATTCATGATAATTGCATTTCTTGAATCAGACTACATATTATACACAAGATGTTCAAGTTTCCATGAAACCGCACCCGTCCTGATATTCATATCCATCGAATGATTGGAATCCCGTAAAACTTGGTGAGGATAAGTTGTTATTCGTGATGACAATATTTTATTCAATTGCCTGAATTATACAGGGTGGTTGTGAAAGTAGTAGTAGTAGTGGTAGCGGTAATAGAATAATAATTATCGAATGTGTCCGTTGTCGAATTAATCTCTCATCAAGAAGGAGAAAGGTTCATTTTAGGAAAATATTCATTTTAGTTTTACTATTATAATAGAAGGAATATTGAGGAATCTGTTTTGAGCAAACTAGAAAGAAATTATTGGACATGGCACTCATGAAGAGCTACTCGCAGACTATATAGTATCTTTCGGGAGAACAGGATAATATGACTAGGTAATGAAGAACAAAAAATGATTATAATGAAGATGATAGAGTCAAAGTACTTGATTAACTTGACCCCCTCTGTTTGCAGCGTCCTCTACATGAATGAGAAGGGCATTTGACGGATACTGTATGTGTTTTTCATGACGTGCATATCCCAGGTACCAGATAGCACTAGCCACATGAGCACAACATCCAAGTGTCCGGGCTCCTGTTTTACAAGTGCAATAATATACGTATATAACATCATCAATATTATTGATTTGTTCAATATTCTCTATATCTGCATCGAATGCGATCCATAATTGATATTTTGTGGTGTTTTGAAATCTCGAATGTACTCTCATTCTTGAGAATCCAGGCTTATTTATATTCGAGTCCATTTGGAATTCATTTTCCTCGTGATGATGAATAGTGTCTTGTATGTACGAAGCTGCCAATTCCACTTGGTATATGCCAATAGTTAGGTCTCGTACCATTTGTAATTCTAATCTTGGGAATTCATTGAAATGATCCTGCCTGAGTATATGAAGTCCATATTGAGATTTTCTGCTTCAACTCGAGCTTGTTCTAAATTCACTCTATTAGCCTTTTCCAACATTATGTTTAATTGGCTTAAATCCATCACAAGCTATGTAGGGCTCGTTGCGCATCACGAATATAGTTTCTTGAGGAGTTGATTTCCAGAGCAATTGAGAAACAAGCCATGAATCCTGAGTACGTCAACTCCAAGAAAACACGACTACTATTTCCACAACCACCCTGTATAATTCGGGTATTTGCATAAAATATTGTCGTCATGAATCATCAACTTCCTCACCAAGTTTTACGGGATTCCATTCATTCGATGGATATGAATATCAGGACGGGTGCGGTTTTATGGAAACTTGAACATCTTGTGTATAATATGTAGTCTGATTCAAGAAATGCAATTATCATGAATCGATGTTGATATTAGTGAACTACGAAATGTCCAAAAATGAATTGATTTCAACCGCTCACTTTTTCGGAAATAATTGGCCAACTCTGTATATCGTGAGTACGTGCAGATATCATTGAACTCTAAAGTGAATATTCACCGGCCACATGGACAAACAAAACGTAGTCGATTTGATTCTGGTATTCAAAAAGGAAAATTCACAAAGGCCATTCGAAATTTTGAAAAAGTCAACTTCAGCAACCTGTATAATCGAAACTATTGAATTTAGAGCGTTGATATTTGGGATATCTGATCAGCATCACGAGTTCTACGATATATCCAAAATTCGAGAAAATTCACCGAAAGCCAATTTCCCCCCTATTGCGGTGCGGGGTCCTTTCTGAAATTGACTAATTTCGCATTGACAATTTGATTCATGTATGAAAAATCCCACAAGCCGCGTGATTTTGTCATTATGACAGCGAAAAAAGTTTGCCCTAACTTTTCCAGCGACAATAACGGAATCTAATTTTTGAAAGCATGACAACCAGCCAACTAGCTTTTTTTTTATTGAAGTAAACTTGGCATTTATAATTAGAATTTGGTTGCCAGTACCTAATGCCAGAAGAAATAACTCGTCCTGCAGACTCGTAATTTTTTCAGAGGCAGTTTTGCCAGGCAACAAAATTCTTATTGATACATGTCAAGTTTACTTCGACAAACAAAAAAGCTCTCGTGTAATTATAAGTTAAAATCATCTAGGCGCATGTAAAATGTCACGAGGATTTCGAATCTATACATGATTTCGTCCTAGATCCAAAGGACATCATAGTTGTATATTTTTCACATCAAAATTAAAAAAATTCGCATTGAAAACCATCTAGGCGCACGTAAATGTCAGGTGGATTCCGAATCTATAGATAATTTTGTCTTAGATCCAAAGGACAACGAAGTTGCATACTTCCAGATATGTATACAGTGTGTCTCACTTCTAATGTGAGCACCTCTGTGTCTTAGGTATTCGCTGAGTAAGGATCCTGAAAGGACCCCGCACTTTTTATAGAACTCGACCTAATGATCAAATATGCCGAGTTCCAATCCGATTCTATGACCAGTTTTTGAGATACAGGGTGTTGAAGTTGAGAAATGCCCCTTTTCATCTACCCATATCTCCAAGAGAAGACAAATGAATCAGAATTTTCTGCTAGCAGTTTTTCAGTTTAACCTTAAGGTACAACAACCATGTACAGAAACAACCAAAGCTGATCATTATCACAGGGTGATTCACATCTGAATTATTGTGTAATTTTCAATTTCTAAATATCGATACAACAACTTGATAAAAACTACAAAATGAAAATTATCATCCGATATGATCTTCTTACGTCAAATGGATTCATTATATGTATTGATTATACATGGTGATTCGTGAATGCTGATGTTCAGAAAATAAAGTTTAATGAGCCACCTCGTATTATTGGGTTGATTTTGGCTATTGATTATAATTTTCGAGGACACATTATGGTGCATTTCATGGTATACAGAGTGATTTATTGATTGGAGAAATTGCCAACTACAAAAAAATATTAAAAAACCACTGTTTTTTCCATCACCCTCTAATTTTAGATTTTCACCGTTGAGGTCAGATTTTTTCTTCATCATAATCAATAGCCTAAATCAACCCAATAATACGACGTGGCTCATTAAACTTTATTTTCTGAACATCAGCATTCACGAAACACCATGTATAATCAATACATATAATGAATCAATTTCATGTAAGGAAAACATATCGAATGATAATTTTGATTTTTTAATTTTTATCAAGTTGTAGCATCGATATTTAGAAATTGAAAATTACACAATGATTCAGATGTGAATCACCCTGTGATAAAGATCAGCTTTGGTTGATTCTGTATATGGTTGTTGTACCTCAAGGTTAAACTGAAAAACTGCTAGCAGAAAATTCTGATTCATTTGTCTTTTGGAGATATGGGTAGATGAAAAGGGGGCATTTCAACTTCAACACCCTGTATCTCAAAAACTGGTCATAGGATCGGATTGGAACTCGGCATATTTGATCATTAGGTCGAGTTCTATAATATACCAGAAATACAGAGAATTCGACAGAACGCCATTTTTATATAGAAAAAGTGCGGGGTCCTTTGCTGAAAATTTCATTTTTGTCTCACTTTTCATGGAAGCACCCCAGTATCTTATGTAATTATTGATGTAGGAGTAAATTTTCAGGAGCAACAAAGAGACCAATAACCAAGTAGGATCATCTTTAATGATACTCTGCTCGCCAGCAGCCACACAAGCACCGACATTCCAGAAGGACAAATTTATTAAATCGGAAAATTCCCTTCATAGTTGTTCTGAAATTGATAATCATAAAGTCAGTTCTCATCAATGATGATGAAATAACTATCAGAATTAGTGCAATCGAATAAATATCAGGAGTGATAAAATGTATATGTGTATTTCCACGGCTGTTGACGAGCAGTGTATACCACTGAAGATGACCCCACTTGGTCATGGAATACATTTTTGGTATATCTCTCGCTCCAGCAAATTTCAGGATCCTAACCCAACGATTACATAAGATACGGGGGTGTTTTCATGAAAAGTGAGACAAAAATGAATTTTTCAGAACTGACAAATTTTAGGAAAAATAAGAATAGTTATTGTATTGGGCGTCCTGATTCCGAATCCGAGGTGATTTTCAACCTATTTTGACTCCTAATATCATTTTCTGGAAATTGGACTGTATCCATTGCTGTTGGCGAGCAGTGTAAATCACAGAAGATGACCCCACTTGGTCATAGAGTGCATTTCTGGTATATCTCTCACTCTAGCAAATTTCAGGATCCTTACCCAACGATTACATAAGATACAGGGGCGTTTCCATTAGAAATAAGACACACTGTAGATTACATTTTTTTGAATAACTATGAGCGACAAGTTATCTGTTATAGCAATAAATTAGCGATGATTAAGAGATAAATTATGGCATAAATGAAAATTGAAGATTCTGAAATTGTTCTCCCAAGTTTGTGAGGGTTTAGAAGGGGGCACAATAGATCTTTCAGGCGGCAGTGTACTCACCCCTTATGCATACAATACAATACAAATAGTTGTTTATGATCCCTATGACAAACAGTTACCTTTCTTGGAGTAAAGTCAATTTATCAAATGAGAAAGTAATCGAAATTATTTTTGCCAACAAATAATACTCACAAGATCTGGTGTGAATACATTGAGATACAAACAGTCCTCGTCCATGTCTCTGACACCCATAGTGGCCCCGGTATATTTAGCAGGTTGAGGACATGCCGGTCCATAATCGACTGCTTGCATTATTTGCCATCCTCTGTGCAGTCTTGGTGGCTGAAATTTTTTGTGAAAACGTTAATGATCAATTTAATTTTAAAGTAGAAGTAAAGTTTATGCGAAGTCAGTTGGAAAGAACACATCACCGCGGCCCGACATTCGTTTGATGATCTGTTTAACTGACTTTGCATAAACTATATAATCATATATTTTTTTGAAATTATACTGTGATACTTTATGAAATACCATTGGAATGCCCTACAATTTCTCTGTGTTACGAGCTGTTTTATTTCAAGGAAATATTAAGTGAACAATATTTCTCTAATTTCGAATCGATCCATCTTTGAACTATCGAGATGGCAGTCTTGACCGCCATCTGGTGCGAACCTAAATGAGAATTTCAGTCTTGGAATGTTTCTTTCCAGACGGCGTTGTGTACATTTCACAGTTGTCGAATGCCTCGTGGGAATTAAATGCTGAGAGATTTTCACGTTGGATCAGGATCAGATGGCGGTCATGAATGCCATCTGAGGACACTCCTGCACTGATCACAGTCAAAGCTCGAAATCGGTAATCAAATCAAATCAAAATATACTTTATTGTCGATAAAATCTAGTTTTGTTGACAAAGTAGAAGATAAACTACAAAAATAAATATAGTCAAAGTACACACAACCTCAATCAAAAAATGTCAATGAATGAAAAAAGAAATAGCGATATAAACAATGTTATTTGAACATTTTGTCAATTTCTCGACATATTATGAGGTATCGCTCTAAACGGGTATACAATACAATAAAGGCAATAAAATCATAAATGAAAATATATTTCACATTTTTCAGTAAATGTTGTCATTATAAAATTCTTGCAAACTATAATAGGGTCTGCTCACGAGTAGTTTTTTTCTATATTTTCTAAAGCCTTCAATTCTATCATGGCTCTCTCTAGAATGAGATGGTAGGTGGTTATACAGAGAGAGAGAGAACATCTTTATTAGGGATATACCCCAAAAGGCCATTGACCGAAGTCTTTCAGCCTGGTGGTTATACATTTTGACGCCATTATAGAAAATGGAGTCCTTTACCAGGGATGAGGAAGGTAAGGGTAGTTTCAAATTATTTTTTGATATTTTCGAGTATAATGACACGATGAAATATTTTCAAATTTTGAACTATGTTTGTGTATAAGACATACAGTTTCCATACCGAATAAAGCCACAACTCTCAATATCTTCTTCTCTACAAATAACTGCCTACATGAATTGCGTGGTCCTAGTTTGAACACATATCTAATGGCTCTCTTTTGCAGTTCAAGTACTGACTCCAGCAGACTGGAGTTACATACCCCCCCCTCATTGCATAGCACTCTGAGGAGATTTTATTCTTCAGTTGTTTGACGTGTGCTTCAAACTTCAATTTGTTGTCAATGAAAATTTTGTACAAACTTTATTTTCAATCATCTCATTTTCTAGAGGCATATCTCCAAGAGTACATTTGAAAGTTACTATATTTGTTTTTTTTTATATTAAATGAAAGGAGATTTGAGTCACACCAAGATTTGATTGCGTTAATGTCTCTGAGTGTCTTATTATTCAAATCGTTAACAGTTTTACTATGCCATAAAATGGTGGTGTCGTCTGCAAATAAAGTAATTTCTCCCGAAGTGTGTATACTCAGTAAATCATTTATATATACAAGAAAAAGAGTAGGTCCTGAAACCGATCCTTGTGGCACTCCATAATCAATATTCATATATTTTGATAAAGTATCGCTTGACTTGACTGCGTGCAGTTAGATAGGACTCGAACCATTCCAAAGTAACTCCCTCGCAGCCGTAACAATGCAGTTTCCGCAAAAGTATTTTGTGGTCTACACAGTCAAAAGCTTTTTTGAGGTCACAGAATACTGCGGCTGCTACATCTCCGGAATTTATGTCTGAATATACCTCATACAGGAAGGAAAACATTGCATCTTGGGTGTTCTTTTTAGCTTGGAATCCGAATTGATTTTCTTTGATGATTTTATGAGCAATAAGGAATTCATTGAGCCATTCTTTTCACGAGTTTTTCAATTATTTTTGCTAGAGTCGGGAAAAGGGATATCGGCCGATAGTTTGAGGGATCAACCAAGCTACCGCCTGGTATGATGGTAGTTGGTAGTAGTAGAATAGATGCCTAGATTTTGGGAGGATGTAATTCAATGTTTTGTGTGACATATAGTTAGGAAACTCTCATTATCTAATATTTTCGTTCATTTCATGGACTGCTGTGGTAGGTAATGAATTTGAGTTTCTCTTTCTGAAAACCAATATTTCTCACCTTGAATCGGCCCTCTCCTACAGGAGGTTGTGCATACGGTATGCCCAGAAACACCGAGGTGACGCCTTGTTGTCTTTCGATGAACTCGGCACCAGGTCGGTACAGTGAGTCTGGATCGGGGTTGTCGAACAAGTACACTTGGAAACCTTGCACGCTTCCATAGGTGGTTTCCACGAAGATGTCTCTCTGCTTCTCCTTCGTTTGCTCTCGTCTTTTGCCCTGTAAGTCTTCTCTCCAGCCGCTCAGTATGCCGGGCAAAATTGGTTCAGCGTTGCCCGCCTGTTACAATATAAACTACTTACCAGATGAAGTGGGACAGCCAAAAAATTGACTAATTTTGATGAGCAATAACTCGAACATTTCTTGGCCGATGTTGGATTTTTAACCAAAGCTAGAAAGTGTCATCCTTCGGCTATGCGTTATTGGCGTCGGATTTTTATTTTTGCGATTCGTTGTCTTTGTACAGAGTGTGAATTAAGAGCTGGAAAAATTTCAAATGTTTGACCAATGATTAGGGAAATGTGAGGGACCCTAGAATTCTGTTTCAGGTCCGATACCTCGAGACGTCTTTGAAATTTTTTGGATCAATTGCGTTGCTATGGAAAAATCGCCATTTAATGAAATTTCATTTTTATTTCAAAATGTGGCCTCTTTTAGTTAAACAATAACAGCCAACATCTGAACTGCAACAAGGGATATTTCTACTGAAGATAATTAACACCAGTGCCGCGCAAAAAGGGGTTTATGATATTTAGAAACGAAAAATTCGTTTTCATTGAAAGACTTCAACAGTTTTATTGATCGTTACAGTTGAAGAGGTGTCATATCCCTAATTAGCATGATGTTGACAAATTCAGAGGTGCGCAAAAAGGAGTTTATGATATTTAGAAACGATAAAAACTTTCTATTGGAAAACATCAAGAAGATTTTTTGAAATTTTTTCAGACAGAATAATTATCAAATTGTACGGCTCGGAAAACATCAGAAGCCAGAATTACGTTCCTGAATTTTCATTCATGAATAATGATACAAGAAAATTTTCACTGGGGAACAAAGGACAACACTTGATAAAATTATTAAAAATGTTTCCATATCAAACTTTTTGAATCGCCTTGATGATGGATCCTCTTTAATACGCCAATGGATTTTGGATGCTCACCTTAGATAAGTAAAAAAACAATGATAATGAGACTGAAATTCTGATTTTCCAATTTTGCCCACCTCTGAATTTGTCAACATCATGCTAATTGAATGTATGGCAACTTTTTACCTGTGACGATCAATGAAACTGTTGATTTTTGTCAATAAAAACGTTTTTGTCATTTCTAAATATCATGAACCCTATTTTTGCGCGCCTCTGAATTTGTCAACAATATGCTAATTGAGGATATGACACCTCTTCAACTGTAACGATCAATAAAACTGTTGAATTTTTTCAATACAAACGAATTTTTCGTTTCTAAATATCATTAACCCCTTTTTGCGCGCCACTGGTGTTAATTATCTTCAGTAGAAATATCCCTTGCAACAGTTTAGATGTTAGCCGTTATTGTTTAACTAAAAGAGGCCATTTTTCAAATTTAAATTTAAATTTCATGAAATGGCGATTTTTCCATAGCAACGCAATTAATCCAAAAAATTTCAAAGACGTCTGGAGGTATCGGACCAACCATTCACCCAACATCTGAAAAAGAATTCTAGGGTCCCCCACATTTCCCAAATTATTGGTCAAACATTTGAAATTTTTCCGGCTCTTAGTTCACACTCTGTACAAAGAGAACGAATCGCAAAAATAAGAACCCGACGCCAATGATGCATAGCCCAAGGATGACGCTTTCTACATTTGGTTGAAAATCCAATATCGGCCAAGACATTTTCGAGTTATAGCTTATCAAAATTAGACAATTTTTTTGGTGTCCCACTTCATCTGGAAAGTAGTTTAATTACTATACCGGGTGACACAGGAGACATGTAACAGCCTGCAGTTTTTTTATTTGGAGAGATACGAATTTGAAATTCGCAAGGGTTATATTATCGATGATGACGCTTCCCTTGAAGGCAATGAAAATTTTCTTCAACCACCTGTTTGATCGGAGGTGGACACAACTTTTTTTTTTTAAATGGCACCCTGTTTATTTCTGTAGCCTATCTTATTCGCCTTGAAATTCTCTATTCAACTATGTATCACAATTTGATATTCGTTCATCAATAGGCTTATATCACGAAAAATTTTTATTTCATAATTCGATAGAATTCGCCCAAACTAGCTCACCACCGCAAACCGTTTCTTGCTGTGAGCTCCCTACGTTTTATAAAAAATTATTGAAATCCCCGATTTTTCGGACCTCTGAAAACGAGGCGATGATGTGACGTCAAAACCCTAATACTGAAACAAGACTATTCCAGACAGAGATGATTTCTGACAGAGTGAATTAGCGCGAGATCACAGTTGAAAGAATTAATATATCAGTTGCCTCAGTCTCCGTCGGGCGTTTGGACTTTTCTTTTAACTATAGCGAGATGAGGTTTCTACGTCATAAGAGGGTCCGTTTTCAGAAGGTACTATTATTTATGTCCAAAAATGAAACATTCCAGTTAATTTTTCGATCGAATTATGTCGTCAATCATTATTTATGTATAAAAGGATCATTATAAACATGGTTTGAGTTAAAAGTTCTACTAAGGTATACACGACCATTGGCTGTGGCCCGAATACAATGACAATTCGATGCTTGATAGGCTTAGAAATCCAAAGATCATTACTTATTAGACGATATTATCAAAATATTTTCCATACCTTGATCGGTCCCAGAAGAAAGAAAGCGATATCTGTATCCTACCTTAGAGCTTTGACACAAGATGACTATAACTTCATGTTATACCCTGCGTCTTCGAAATGGGTGATATACCTGAAGCGTAGAGTTGTCCCAGTTGTCAGCAGACCGAGAGCGGCTGATGAGACCTGGTGGGTCGAAACAGTACTGTCTCGCTCCTGCTGACAATTGGGGCAACTCTGTTCATCCTAGATCTCTTAGTAATGAGATTTAGCAGTTGAGTAGGTGGTAGAAAAATTCCAATCAAGTATGTCAGGTAGTGCCATGTGTCAGCAGAGTGATTTACTTGTAGTACCACTCTGTAGCGTATAGACATAGGGGTCTGTACGTGTGACTATAGATGACAGCGCCATACAGTGTGTGTCGCGATATCTTTATCCTACCTTAGAGCTCTGCCACAAGATGGATACAACATGACTACAACTTTATGTTATACCCTGCGTCTTAGAATCATTTTTAAATTTTGTGGCTTTCTCAGTCTCCAACTATACTGAATTTTGGCACCATGAAAGCTCATACACGGGGGTTATAAAAAAAACAATCAATACTTCCAACTTCAACATCCTGTATCTCAAAAACGGAGAAAGTTGGGACACATGTTTATATGAACTTTATTTGCTAAAATATCACAAGAAATCACCCCTTGTATTTGTTCGGTGTTATTCAGAACCTCTGGTTTGGAGAAAAAAATGAGATCATTTTGAGTTATGCTTGGAAAAATAGATATATCGATATATAATTTTAAAAATATCAATAACTATCGGTTACTAGTCGAGCGATCCATCTACTGCGCTATTCCGCCGTCTTCAATTGACCATATGCATAAACAAAGTGTTTTCAAAATATAATGTGGAGAGCAATTGATGTTTTCAACTTCAAAACCTTTCAAGATTCACCTCTCAAAATATATACATAAATTGGAGAATCGGCCTGGGTTATTTACACTAACAAGATGATCCATCTCCATGTAAAATGACCTTGGCTTGCTTATCATATCACCTGACGGAGCTACTGTGTTAGCGAAGTTTTACATTTGCCATGCATTTCCATCAAGTAACGGCCGAGTCAATTCAAAATCCATGTAAATAATGTTGAAGCTAAATTTGTCCTTAGTGCTTGACTTCACAATGAATTCATTAAAGAAGAGTACTACTGCATGGAAGAAGTACGGTTATAAGATGCCAGACCACATTTGTAAGAGCGTTTTGCTGTCAATGCTGTCAAATGGGATTTTCTGTGATCTCAGCAGGGCATTTGATTGCGTTGACCATAACATTCTCTTAAATAAACTCTTCAGGTATGGTATTCGTGGTACTCCACTGGCCTGGATAGCAGACTACCTTTCTTTGAGGAAACAATTTGTTGAAATCAACAAAACACCATCTGACTTCATTTCAACAGAATTAGGGGTTCCACAAGGATCAATTTTGGGACCTGTATTATTTCTATTCTATGTTAATGGCCTCGATAAGTCAATTGATACATCTATGACCATGTATGCAGATGATACGTCCATAATTATCTCTGATAAGAATGATTCAGCCCTCAACGATAAATGCAATCAAGTTTTTCAAGATTTGAATAGATGGTTTTCTGCAAATAACCTTTACTTGAATGTTGATAAAACAGTTTCCATTCGATTCCACAATCGTCAGAAAAGTTGTGACTTTATCACTTTCCAGGCAAAGGAAAATTCTGATCTCGTTATTACAGATAGTGTAAGCACCAAATTTCTGGGACTCTCTATCGACCAATGTTTGGGGTGGCATAACCATTGTGTACTATTAACAAAGAAATTGAACACAATATCATATCAATTGAGAAACTTGAAACAAGTTTTGAATATTGATCAATTGTTGACCTTGTATTACGCACAGATTGACTCTAGACTTACGTATGGTTTATGTTTCTGGGGCCTATCTACACACTGGAAAGATGTTTTTATAGCTCAAAAAAGAATAGTACGAATAATGGTAGGTGTTCCTATGAGAGAATCCTGCAGAAATATATTCATCAACTATAAAATTTTAACATTACCTTGTCTTTTAATATTTGAATATTGTGTATTTGTTTTCAAAAATTATGATGAATATTTTGTTCTCAACAAATCCAAACATAATGTGAATACCCGGCAAAAAAATGATGTATATGTCCCATTTGGTGAATGTAAATTAGCATACAATTCTCCTAATCTCATGGCCCCACGAATTTTCAACTTACTGCCAATCAACATAAAAAACTGTGAAACATTGGTTGTGTTTAAAAGAAGATTGAAAGAGTTTCTGTTACATAACTGTTTTTATAGTGTAGATGAGTATATGTCCCTTTAGTTTGTAAGACCTATTGACGATTCCTATACAATATGAAATGTAATTGTCTAAAAAGGAAAATAAAGTTTATCTAAATGCTGCCTGACCTGTCTATGGAACGAAATCTTGAATTTTGCATATTTCGTTCCAATTGCTTGGAATTTTATTTAATTTTCATGGATGACCCTGTATTGTTTCGTATTGTACAGTTTAACTGAAATTCGAGCTTCATCATTTGGATCTCGTAAACCGTAAGAGATACAGAGTCGGTTGAATTATGGCTGTTTTGGATTTCCGACAGTGGCATTGATAAAGTGTCATTCATTTCCATTAATTTCCTCAAGTAACTTGAGAGAAAATATTGAAATGGTAATTGCCACAATTCAACCGACCCTGTATCTCTTACGGTTTACGAGATCCCAATAATCATGCTCGAATTCCAGCCACCCTGTACATATTATACAAATTATTTTTTTCGCCTTCCCCGATATATCCACTTTCGATATCGAAACTTATTAGTAATAGATAAAAAACTTGTTCGGGAATTTATCATTAAACGAAGACATAACTGATTAGTCATTAGGGTGAATCAAGCAATATATCAGTCTCGCACCAGATTTCGTCGCGTTAGGTCGATTCAAGTGGTTTGAAAAATAACTAGTAGGTATTCAAAATAAGTGAGAAATCGAAATTCATTGTGTGCTTGATATCCTTCTTTTTGAAGCAGGAAAATCTCCAACTTTGATACTCTGACTTTTAAATAATTAAAATATTTCAGTCCGGCCCTGATGCGGAATTCCTTCTTGCATTGAAACATTTAAAAATAAACTTCGAATACATGGTGTTAATTGATTGATTGCCGATAATACAATGGGTGAATCCTCGAGTGATCTCAAGGAGAAAAGTTTATATCAACATATGCCCTAAACCTCTTAGTTTTTGAGATACAGGGTGTTAAAATCAGAGGCGTACAGTTTTCTTTTATCAAAACATTCAATATCAGGCCTACATAAACATCAATGGTAAAAGTAATAAATCTATTTTCGCCTTCAAACAAAATGTGTTTCCACTCATAGTTAGTGCCTACTGAATTTTTACAAAATACCAAAAACAATCTCGATTAACTGAAGAAAAAATTGTTTTTGGATTTTTTTTACATGAAAACGGTACGTTGTATGAGAGTAAGTCTCGGAACCAAATTTGCTCCGAAATAAACGGGGATTTCAAAAATAATTTTGGTTTTCAGAAAAATCAGTGGAGTACCATTTTTTTCTTCTAAAATTACCAGTTCAAACCCCTTACGTACGTCACTGGTGAAAGTTTTAAACAATCTTTTGCGTCAAAAAATGACCCTTAATGATATAAAGATGTGTACAAAATTTCCTGAAAATATCTAGGAGTGAAAAAAAATTATGATAAAAAACGTAAAAAATTCACTTTTTTTTAAATTTCAACACCCTGTAGCTCATAAACTGAGAGGTTCAGGATATTTGTTGAAATAAACTTTTCTCCTTTAAATCACCCGATGATTCACACCTTGTATTATCGGCACTCAATTAATTAACACCCTGTATATTGTACATTACCGATCTCTAACCTTCTCTAATCAACGAAAATGAATTCACTTTGTTGCTCATTGGATGGTCAGGGTGTCTCCATATAATATTTTGATAACAGAAATTTTGAGCCCTACTTACAGCATTTCTCTATACAAGGTGGAAAAAACTTGAGATATTGAAGTTATAGGACCGCATCTGTAATATCTTTTGGCACTCCTCAAACAAACAGATGCAAATTGCAAAATGATAAAAAAGTCCAAATCAGTTTTTTTTAAATGAAACACCATGTATAATTTCAACTCTAGTAAAAAATATATTCACAAATATACTGTGCTTTCATTGGATACATAGGACTTTAACTCGTGCGATATACTAGCATCTAGAGACAGGACGCATCAAATATTGCCGCGTGGTGAGCAACAAACCAATTTCTTTTGTACAAATGGAAGCAATTTTCTTTCTTTATTCTTCCGTCCATAATTGACCATATTCATAAACAAATTGTTTTCAATAATGATGAGATTTAAAATTTTATTTTGTTTTATTTGTTTGTTTTGAATATTTACAGTAATAATTGACATGTATTGTTGAAACAATTGATTTTTAGTATTCACTATACAGGGTGTTTCATAGTATATGATATGCGCAGGACTTCGGGATCTGATAGCTCATACAAAAATATGAAAAAAAAGTTTCTGTCACCTTGACCCCTCAAATGCACCATTTTCGAGATACAGACGGTTGAAATTTGAAAAACAAAATCTGATTTTTGTGAATATCTCTGTAACCGTTTATCACACATAGAACAGTTTTTGTAAGCATTTTCTACTCATAATGAGCTATGTTATGTGTGGAATTTATTTTTTTCAAGTCATAATTGGTGAAGATTTTGAAGGGTTAGTGAATGTTTTTCTCCCCAACTTCTATGCAATTGGAAAAGGTACAGTTTTCTTCACAAAAAAGATACTTGTGGTCATGAGCTCTAAAATTGACCGTTTTTGACAAAAATCAACCTTCATATTGAAAATCATGGTGAATTTTTGATAAAATTTATTTTAGCAATTAAACAAAATCTATTTAAACTTTAAAACAAGTAACAAAACCAAAAGGTCAACTTCATATCACAATATTGAACAAATAAAATGGCAAATCATACTCAGTTATATGGATAATTGTTAGAAATGTTCATGGGTTCAACATAAGCAATTATAAAAAAATACCATGATTTTCAACATAAAAGTTGATTTTTCTCAAAAACGGTCAAAGTTAGAGCCTTTGACCAAGAATAACTTCTTTGTGTAGGAAATATTGGCAGTTCAAATGGGTTGCTCAAAACTGTACTTTTTCCAGTGGTGTAGAAGTTGGGGAGGAAAACACTCACTACTACTTCAAAATCTTCACCAATTATGACCTGAAAATTTTTAAAAATCCGCACAAAACATAGCTTATGAGTAGAAAATGGTTATGAAAGCTATTTTTTGTGTGATAAACGGTTCCAGAAATATTCACAAAAATCGATTTTTTTTTCAAATTTTGAAAATAGTGCATTTTAGAGGGTAAATTATTAAAAACTTTCTTCATATTTTTGAAGGAGCTGTCACATCCTGCGCATTTATTATGAAACACCCTGTATTATGATTTACTAGCAGACTTTATCAAAATGGTATTTGGGACAAAACACATTGTTTCAAATGGAATTGATTCATGATATCATGCTGTTTTGTAAATGTTCTGAATTCAATCAGAATTACACCTGAAAATGAAATACAATAATTCATTTTAATTTTATCAAGGGAAAAAAATGATTTGAATTTGAAAGCAACAGAAAGCCTACTTAGTTTATGAACAATATATTTGCTGGTTGACTGGTATTTTTATTGTGACTTCAAACATGGTTAATTATTTTATTTGTTCAAAATGCCATATTCAGGTGACATTGGAATTAGAAAATTATGGAAAATTGGTGTGAGGTGGATTATTTTCATGAGCATGCTTATTAATCATTTTCAATTTGCCAAGAATATCAGCAATTTCATATTTATTTACTAGAAAAGCATGAAGAAATGAAATTTAGCAGGTACACAATCTGAATCTCTTTGAATTCAAAGAGATTATGAGATTACCTATAATAAATTGTAACATTTTATTGTGTACTGGAACTCTGCTACCATATCTCAATGACACAGTACTTATATATACTTATATAGTGGAAGTTTTCTTCAATTAAAGAATAAAAAAAATGTTCACCCTATCATATGTGAATCTTTCATCCTGTCCCCTGATTCTGGGATCACCGAACCTTCCTTGGTTGTTATAATCTGATCCAAAACTCTGTCCATATCGCCTGCCTTTATAAAAGTACGTGGTCCTGTAATCTTTGTCGTTGGGGCCGTATGGCAAACGGGGGCCATATTCATTGTATGGGTTTTGTTTGTTTGGCGGATATCCACCTGGGTACCTCGCAAACTCGTCGTACTGTCCTGAAATAATGTCGCTCGAGAAAGTAACTATTAACAGCAAAACGATTTCAAACTGTTGTTTGGGCGGCGCCATAATATTAGTCACATTATTCCTTATTTATTATTAATTTAATGCTTTGTTTTGTATTGATATGTTTTTATTTTGACTTTTCAATCTTTTCATATCATCAATCATCAATGTCATCATGTCAGTTCAGCTGCCAATCTGCCAATTCTACCCAATTCTACCAACGTTTCAGCTTGTCACTTGTCACCAATGAACTGGAACGTCAGCTGTCAATTGAACATTCATCCAACCCTGAAGTGGAGAAGAAGACGAAGAAGAGCGAATCTCCTCATGGGTAGAGAAATCAAACAAGAAGAGGTAGATCTAGTGGCCTGGCGTCTCCGGGAACTCCGATTACTCCGAACTCCGGGTTTCCCCAAAGTATTGAAACGGAAACTTTCAAGAAATTCAAGAAGTAGTAAGTACCTATGAAACATATTTTAGCCCTTTAACACCTTCTCCATCTCATTTTTTCTGCCAACTGTTGAAAATGTTTTATTAAAATAACCATTTTATATTTCGGTAGATATTTATTTAAAAAATGTCACATACAATATTACATTACAATAATACTAATATCCAATTTATTTACAAAACATGTACTTCTCTTATTATAATAAGAAATGTGTTTTCAAATCAACTGAAATCTGAATGGAACAGGTTATGATTCCTAAACTCAACCATTTGCATTTGGTGGATCACTTCTAGAAATAAAGGTCTAGAAATATAAATCATTTTTGAGCTTAATTCAATTAGAAAAGCTCATATGAATGTATGTTCCAACTTGGTTGTTGTAATACACTGTGTTGAAATTGAAAATAATAGTGCAAGATTACAGTATTCTGTTTTTCTATATGTAAAAACAGGGAACTATCATCTCGAAAAAACGAACTTTTTTCGAGAAAAAACTGAATAACTTTCAAATTTCATTTCAGGTGCACTCGAGACAATGATCAATTGAGTGTATATAATTCTATAATATTATGAGTGTTTCTAAGTAACCGCCATGTTGCCATTGTTATGAAAGCCTAATAACAGGGTGATCATGATTAATTCATATTTTCAACTCCAACACTTTCTGAGAATCACCTTTGTATAGTATGTAATATACAGGGTGTTCGTAAAAGGTTTGGACATGGCTCGGCTGTGGACTCCTGGGATAAGAACAAGTTTATTTAGGCCAACTTACCTATATCACAGTAGAGAAGCTCTCTACTGTGCCTATATCCAAAATCGTCTTGTTGAGTTGGTACAATAAGGTGTTGGAAGTTTTTTTGGAAAAAAATAGTTTTGCTCATAAAAAGAGTAGGCTGAGATTGATTTTCATAATTTCTGGCATGGCAAGTTCTGTGACTGTAAGTCACGTTTTGAGATGTTTTTTATCATCATCAGTGACCTGCAAGTGTTTCAAACAACCATGTTGCCGTACAAATTTGGTGATAACTTTTCAGAGGTCAGACTGGTAACTTCCAGTTTTTTTTCCAGAATATTTTTCCTTAAGATATATTATTTGTATCCTGTTAATTTTTTGTAAGTCTCTAGGTACATTTGCAAATAAATAATTTCTGACTTGAGGCATCCTGCGAATTTTTGAAAATTAATCTGATTAGTCGGACTGTTCATTGATCATGGCTACAATTTATTCTTATTGTGAACAAACTGATATGTTGCTGGTCCTCGCGGGCTTTACAAAAACTGTCGCGTTACAAATTCAGTGATAATTATTCAGGTCCTAAGATGAGAACTTTAACGCATTGTACCAACTCAACTAAACGATTCTGGATATGGGTAAGTTGGCTAAAATCAACTTATTTTTATCCCAGGAGTCTACAGTCAAGCCATGTCCCAACCATCAGATTATTTTTCTAAAAAATGCATAAGATGCCTCTCATCAAAAATTAACATGATACAAAAAATATTTCTAAAATGAATATCTTTCTGGAAAAAAACTGGAAATTTCCAGTCTGACGTCTGAAAAGTTATCACCAAATTTGTACGGCAACATGGTTGTTTGAAACACTTGCAGGTCACTGATGATGATCGAAACATCTCAAAACGTGACTTACAGTCACAGAACATGCCATGCCAGAAATTATGAAAATTGATCTCAGCCTACTCTTTTTATAAGCAAAATTATTTTCTTCCAAAAAAACTTCAACGCCTTGTACCAACTCAACGAGACGATTTTGGATATAAGTAAGTTGGCCTAAATCAACTTGTTTTTATCCCAGGAGTCCACAACCGAGCCATCACGTCCCAACCTTTTACAGATCGACACCCTGTATAACTTATATAAAGTATTCACATAAATTGGTGAATCGGTCCACGCAAAATCAGCCCAAAATCTTTCCCATCCTAATCTGAAAACACATTCACATCCACTTGCATGAATTTACATGTACCCAAAACGCACCATAGTCAGGTTTTAAGACCAATCACAACCCATAATCCTTGATCACAACCACATAAGATGCACGCGTGCGTGATAGGGCTACCCCATTACTATCTGTCTCTAGCTAGACTAGCGAATATTTGAAACCTCAAGGTTATCAGAAGGTTATTTGTGTTTATAAGACTTGATATGGTAATATGAGGAAGGAAAATATCTCTTCTGCATGAAAAATGAAAGTACTTTCAACCTCACTTGTCCTAGATGAAAATTTTTCCTGAAAAGTACATTTTTGAACAATGTCTTGAGTGAAAAACAGTTTTTTTTTTTAAATTTGACGCCTTGCAGGAATTGAACCCCAGTCACCACCGTGGAAGTCAGATACACAGACCACTGAGGTATCGCTTTACTCGTAATAGTCGTAGTTTCTCAATATAAAGAGGGAAGAAATATGTGTGTATGTGTTGTGGGTGACGTCACGTGGACGTCAGTTGACCTGGATCTTTCAAAGATTCGCTGGTATAGCTAGCCGCTTTTTGGCTCTCATACATTGATTTTCAAGTAAGCACAGACATCCGACTGCCATTCATGCGGCTCAGGTTCAATCCCTGCGAGGTTCAACTTTTTTTTTTCATTTTGTCCTTTTCAAAAAATTACTTTCTAGGAAGAATGTTCATTCAGACCTAGTTAGAAAGTTGTTGTTTAGAAAAAATCAGTCTACCATCTTATGCAGAAAGGATATCGCCAACAGCTGCGATTTGAATATGCCGCCAAGGCTAATATCGTCATCAGGTATATAAAACTGACACAGCCGATTTGTCACAATCAAATGAAAATCATCTTGTATTCGATAACTATCTATCAACTATATTTCAACACCAACCCGAATTTTTTAATTCAAGCGGACAGCAAAAAAATGGTGTTGTGTCACCTTGATAACCTCGAGCAAGGACAACCGTTTCACAGCTTTCCACCCAAATAAGTTATGGAGATGATTCACATGCTCAAATTTTCAAAACTTTCGAATGGTGTATCGATAATTTGAATTTGAGCAAATTTGAATAATGTTTTACAACGGTCAAATATGCATTCAATACCTATTAAATGCATGTACATTTGTTCTTGTGATTCTCAATCGTATCCTTTCAGCAAAAATCAACAAAGAGTGTTTTCGTGGATCTAATATTTAAAAACTCCAGCACAATTAGTTGAAATCGAAAAGATGTGAATTCAGATATGTTTTCCAAAATAAGTAAGGCTGTGAAAGAGGATGTATTATACGGACAAAAAATGCCAATAATACCTATGATGAATCTAGAGTGTGCTTTCATGAATCTACTATTTAATAGCTCCAGCACAATCAGATGAAATTGTGAAATATGCCTATATCTTCTGGATTTACATTCTTTCAATTTCAACTCAAAAAATCACATGCATTTTAGGTATTTAATGCATATTATTTAACCGTTGTAAAATATTCAAATTCGCTGAAAGTTGTGAAACGTTTGTGCTAGAGTCACTGGATGTTATTAGTTAGATAAGTGTTGGGACACAGAAATGACAACTGTTTTATTTTATTTTATTTTTGTTCTGTGATCTATACCATGTTTGTTATTATACATTTCATGCTTTGTCAATATAAGATCTATATCTTCGATAATAAAGTACACTTTTGATTGATTGATTGTAAGTGTTTTTGAATGTTTAGATTTATTAAATTGCCCACCTTGCATTGTGACAAGAGCACCATAGTCGCCCTGCGCTTTTTCATCAAAAATTGTTCTTAATTTGATAATACATTTCATGATCGGCAGAATTTACATATACTTATTTCATAAACTATTGAGAAAAAATAAGCATAAATGATAATGTCCTGCTGTTTAACGAATTGCGGGAATTCTGAAGGAAATGGCGACTTCATTTCTTTATTTTCCAAAGGAAATATCTACCATTCCCTTATGGAAAGAATGTATGAAACGGCCTGAATGGAAAATTGATTTGAAGACAAGCAATATTTGTGAGGTAAGTATATGAATTAAAATTCACTTCTTATAACAGCAGATTGGAATGAAACTATATACAGAAGATTTATAAGATCCGTTTGGGAGAATCTGCACTGAGGAAAATTTCTATTAACCATAGTCAGAAATCGAATAACCCCAGCAAGAAACTCTAATAGCATAGGGGACAAGCGAGTTATCACCTGTCATTATAAAGTCGACTTTGCTGATTATAACCCATCACCTGCGATTATTAAATATAGAACCTTGCTGTCACTAGCGAGTGCATCTGTATTGAGATATCTGTATGATGCTATTAGACGATGTTTCTGTAGTAGGTATCTGACTTTGCTACCGCTAGTGAGTGCATCTAATAATAGGAGTAGGGCAATGTTATAATCGTAGGTAGGGAACTTTGCTACTCTTGATGGGTGATCATATAGATACTTGCATGACCTTCTTACTGTATAGTTATTCAGTTATTTTCCAGGATTGTTGTCATCAAGAAAGGTGAAATTTTGACTGATATCCACTTTCACTTCCCATAATTTCCACCCTGATGTTTGGTATGAATAGCAATTTATTGATTCCTAAAGAAAATTTCGGACCAATGATCTTTGAAATTCAATAGATCAATTGATTCATGCTCCCTCAGGAAAATCCAAAGGGTTTTTTGAGTAATTGATGAAAAAAAGAATTTTTCTGAAACCTTCTGAAACCATTGTATTTCGAAAACTAGGCAAGTTATTACAGAGGCGTACAGGAAAATGTTACCAGTAAAATCATTTCATCACCTGGACATTTTTGCTCACAATAAGTTTTTAGACCAGATTCTATAGAGAAGCTCTGAAACATATTAATTTGACCATTTTAGAGTTTCATGATACCAAAGAGAGGAAAATGTTATTGAATGTAAAATATTTGAATTTCAGACGAAATACCTCGAAAAAACTCACCTTCATCATTCCATCAATCCTGGTATAATAACTGAAGCACTCAGATCTACGAAAGCACTGAAAGGGACACAGAAGATTTTTTTATTTGTTTGAAAATGTTTCCATTTTATATTTGAATTCAGATTCAGATTTTGAATAATGAATTGAATTCAAGAGGGGAAGTATTCGTAACTGTCGTGTCGTCGAGATTTTCGTCCTGTACATGGGTTTGCATCAAGAGCCCAACTGTGAATGATTGATCAAGCAAGATGTCTGACAAATGTTTACATAGAGGGGGACAAATCAGCGAAATATCGAATAACGATGAGTAGGCGCTAAATAACCCCAAGTTGATTCGTCAAATATTATTTTCGTGGCAGACTGACAGTTGTATTATTGAAAGTGAGTGCAGTTCTATGCGATGATCCTCGCAGCCACAAGCATATAACTCACTAGTAGTAGTTCAGCTAGACAATTATAAAAAAAATCATGCTGCCCAGAGTGGCTGCCTGATAGCTACAGCAGTATACCTTCCTGTGGCAGGAAATTCACTTTCAGCAAAGTCGTTATTGCTATCATAGGATTTGAAGGTGCTGCTGCTATTCGAAAATGTATAACGGTAATACGATTTCTTGTGATGGTAGCAAGAAATATCTCAGCAAAAACTTAAATAGCACAATTTTCCTCAGTGTGATGTTCCATTGATATACAATACAAAATTATCATAAATGAAGAAATTTTGCAAAACTACATAATGAAATTGAAAATTTGAGAACGTACCTGAGGAAATCAATTGAATTGCGACGTGATATAATATCATCGAATGGCGTTTTCAGTACCGACCAAATTAAAAATTCAACAGTGAAAAGTGAATGCAGCAAAAGGTGGAAAATCAAAACAATCTTCATGTTTCAAACTCGGGTACAGGTACATTAGGGAACTAGCTATAAGTATATCCATATCTGTCTTCTTTGTCATATTAAAATATTGTTACATGAATTATTTTTATTATCATAACAATTGATTTGCGAGAAGTGTACTTTTATATAGATTGAAGTGGGTGTTTATACCCTATTTCTATTTTCCATCTACGACAATGATTGATTTGACAAAAAATGTAACCTTTAAAAGCGTATCTGACCATCAGGCGCTACTATAGGGAAATTGAAAAGACAAAGAGCAGAATATATGTCTTATTCTTTCATTCACTCAAACCATTGTAATATAGAAAATAGAAAAGGACAGAAGTTCAGCTGTGTCCGAACTCTTATCTATAACTAATACCATCCAGTGACTCTAGTTTGTGCTAGCCTGAGGTTAGGCTGACACAACACCATTTTTTCGCTAACGGCTTGAGTAAAAAAAATCCAGTTGGTGTTAAAAAATAGTTAATGAATAGTTATTGAATACTAGATGATTTTCATTTGATTGTTCCGAAACGGCTGTCAGATTTATATACCTAATATCGTCCTGATTGATCTGAAAGTTCGACTATGGACCGTTTCCCGTAAATGTGAATTCCTGCCATCCGCTTCATCTCCTAAGCATCTCTCAACTTTTCGAGTGAAACCTCCTGCCCGTTCTAGATGGCGTCGCTGTAGACGATGCTTCCTCGGCCGGCTCGGCGCTCTTCTCCTTGCTGGAGCCGAAGCGCCCTCTTCTGCCCGAAGACGGGGAGGACGGTCGTTTGGGCGCCTCCCTCTCGGCGGGAGCAGGGGCGGGAGCGGCGTCCTCTTCGGTGTGCTGGACCGGTTTGGACGGTTTGTCTGGAAGGTGAGTGTGGTTTAAGTTATGTTCGTACGAATTCCGCAAAATTTATGCGAATAAAATGGGGACTGCGAATATCGCAATGAACGAATTTGGATGGAATCATAACCACACAGTATACATCATTTGTATATATACGTATATAGCTTGATTGGTTTCCAAGATATACAGGGTATCAAAGTTTGAAAAAAGATTTCTCTTACTTTTTGTATATATAATTCCAATAAAACTGGCATGTTGATTTATTTCAATGAGTTATACTTCTATCGACGTTAGAAGCATATATATATATACACTGTGTCCATAAAGTCACCCCCCCCTGGTTAACTATTGAACGGGTGGGATTTTTTTTTCAATTTTTTTTTGCTTCAATGGTAGTTTCAGTGCTATATATTGTTCCAAAAAAAAACATGTATTAAGATTTTTTTAAATGGAGTGGGGGGTCGAAAGATACCTCGATTGAAAGGTCTTTCGATTCTCTATACAACCTCAAAATCTCAGACAAAAATATTCATCCAAAACAAAATGGCGGATGATAACGTTTGAAATCTCACACCAGAATTCTTTCGACTGGATGGCTATTAAAGTGCTCGCATGTGATCTTCAAATCTTTATTGGCGTATAGAAGAGTTCTCTATCTATGGAGATATCAATAGAAAGCCATTTTGAAGAGAATAACATGGTAGTCACGTGGAATAAACATTGTTCTTTATTTTGAATAAATATTTCTAAAATTTTGCAGAATTTGGAAAGACAATCGAGCAAAGGTATAATTGACTACCAAGTTATTCTCTTCAAAATGGCTTCCTATTGATATCTTCATGGATAGAGAACTCTTCTTTACGCCAATAGAGATTTGAAGATCACATGCGAGCACTTCAATAGCCATCTAGTCGAAAGGATTCTGGTGTGAGATTTCAAACGTTATCATCCGCCATTTTGTTCAAGATGAATATTTTCGTCTGAGATTCTGAGGTTGTATAGAGAATCGAAAGACCTTTCAATCGAGGTATCTTTCGACCCCCCACTCCATTTAAAAAAATCTTCCAAAATGGCGCCCAGGCGCCATTTTGGAGGATACATATTTTTTTTTTGGAACAATATATAGCACTGAAACTACCATTGAAGCAAAAAAAAATTGAAAAAAAAAATCCCATCCGTTCAATAGTTAACCAGGGGGGGGTGACTTTATGGACACAGTGTATATATATATATATATAATAACCAAAACGTTCAAGTTTCTATATATGTGTGTAAAATTAATGAAAAACGATCGCTTTTGAAAACTTTTCAACACTGAAAATGCCCATCCTGTATATACAGGGTGTCCGCTAAAAGGAGGTCAATCCATTAACCATATATTCCTTGAACAAAAATAATATGAGTTTCTAAATACCATTTTTCATTTTAGCCCTTCTTATTCGATATACAGGGTGTCAAAGTTGGAAATTGAAAACTGTTTTTTTCTAATTACTCGCGTAATTAATAAGATATTATTCTCGAAATTGGTACATTACTTCAGCACAAAAAGTTACATCGTGTGAGGAAAACAAAACAGAAAATAACTGTCAAATATTCAAAATACTGGGGGTCAAGTACACACTTACCCACATATGACTTCCTATCTATTTTTCTTCAAGTGTTCAATCATTTTTGAGTTGTTTTTGATTTTTGTAAAATTCCGATAAAATTATTTGTTTTTAAGATAATTCGAAAAGTACTGGCGAGAGTACTGGTTATTGTTTGATGCCTCGCGGCTTACGGTAATCTTATAATGTTCACATAGTCCTATTTATTTCGTCGAAATTGGAAGAGGGCGTATCTTATTACGTACCGAAAGGTAAATATGGAAATACCAGGTGCTCAGAGCGAATGTACTAAAATACTTTTTACACTTTTTTAATTTTTTTTTTGCAAAAATTATTTTAGTACAATTGCTCTGAGCACCCGGTATTTCCATATTTACCTTTTCGTACGTAAAAAGATACGCCCTCTTCCAATTTCGACGAAATAAATGAGTATGTGAACATTATGAGATTACCGTGAGCCGCATAGGCATCAAACAATAACCAGTACTTTTCGAATTATCTTAAAAACAAATGATTTAATCGAAATTTTACGAGTAACAAAAAATACTCAAAAATGATTGAACACTTGAAGGAAAATAGATAGGAAGTCATTAGCGCATGTACAAAAAAAATATGGGGGTAAGTGTGTACTTGACCCTCAGTATTTTGAATATTTGACAGTTATTTTCTGTTATGTTTTCCTCACACGATGTAACTCTTTGTGCTGAAGTAATGTACCAATTTTGAGATTAATATTTTATCAAATACGCGAGTAATTAGAAAAAAACAGTTTTTAAATTCAAACTATGACACCCTGTATATCGAATATGAAGGGCAAAAATGAAAAATGGTATTTAAAAACTCATATTGTTTTTGTTCAAGGAATATGTGGTTAATGGATTGACCTCCTTTTAGCGGACACCCTGTATATAGGTACGTCATAAAATCAACGGTTTCACAATGTAAGTATACATGGTTTAGGTATGGTCTGGGGAACATGGACGTCGACAGGACGTCCCTGCAACGTCATGAATCTGACGTCTTATTTTACAACTAAGTGATGTTCACTCTAGATGATGACGTGATTCTCACATCATAGAAATTACTTCATAGTGACGTCGTAAATTGGTGTATGACGTCTCTGACATAAAAATCACCAATTAGGAACGTCACAGTGACGTGATAATTCGTCATGGTTGCCTGGGTTGTGGGTGACTTCACTTGACCTCGATTTTTCAAAGATTCGCTGGTCTAGCTAGACGCTTGTCGAAATTAATTGGTTGAAAAAATGTGTGCTTTTTAACACTGTTATTCTAAATGTTAACCTAGTTACTAGGCGAGAGGTACCTATTATAATATATAATATAATCAGTGAAAAAAAAAGCGAAAATCGCCCTCATTGACCACATTTTCAGTAAGCTAGTGACCTTTTTTTATTATATTTTTTGGAGCGTACAAAATGGAATCCCTATATAATGTACGAAGAACATCGTGCATGCCTTGGGAGGATAGGCAGACGAAGTAGGTATTGGATTTTTTTTACTTTTGGAGATTACAAGTTCTTGGAAAAACTTCCATTGGCAAAGAATTCCAAAGCTTTACCGTCTGCTGACTGGGCTTGTCGAGTTTATCTGACTGGTATGGCTAGTGATGGAATGAGTATGGCTCGGCTCGGCTCTTCTCTGGGTGGAATTTAAGAGCATCAGGGTGTGTTTGGGTGTTGAACCCCATATATGAGAATAACATTATTCCAGAACAGTAAGAGGAAAGAATTACTTGTAACAGTATTCATTTATACGAGTCGATGCATAGATTTCGGGAGGATGTAATTCATTGTTCTGCGTGGCATTAGCCAGGAAAGTAGTTGTTTTTTCCGAAATCTACCATTGTTGTTCATTTTATGAACATTGTGTGGAAATAACTAAGCTATTTGAGTGATGATTCTATTCAAGAATAAAAAAATTAGTCCACTTGCCCATTTTCATGATCGTTCTCGAAATCTTCAAATGACTTGTACAAAATGAAAGAATGTCAGTTGTTGAATGGAATGCTACTTACTGCTAACTACTTGTTCTCTCCTCCTTTTCAAGGCGGCCAAAAGGTCATCGTTGCTTCTGAAGGACCTCACTACTCCTTTGATGAATTTCTTAGGCGCTTCTGTGGTCGAACTCGTTTCTTGTGGTATCTCATCTTCGTAGTCTGCTTCTTCGACGTCTTCTTCTTCCAGTGCCTAGAATAATTTTGGAATTTATTGCCTGGTATGACAAAGGAGAATTGATTAAAACAACCAGGAAAAAAATCTCGAAGTCGTCACAAATTCAATAAACATTAAGCATATTTTCATTAGTTCAATTCCAATTGATTCTAGACGATGATAAATAAACTATTCTTCAACAAACGTTATAAAGAATATTTTCTCTCAGATTTAGATATATTATTATTTCTCGATAGTTGACAGATTTAATTCAATATTCTGTCGTATTAGCCAGGAAATAAGAAGTTGTTATCTGTTAGATATTTAAACAAGTCATTATACATTTCACTGTGGCTAGTATGTGGATATAGGCATAGGCACGTTGATGTGCCTGTAAAATTGAAATTACGTACATGACGTCACAACTTGTGTTCCGTCATGAATGTGCCTCTAATTATGGAATTCCGTGCGAGGAGAACAGTTTTACAATACGCGATAACTGCTAGATGCAATTCTCTTCTCATAGATAAGTTATTCAATTAGGCGATTGCCATAGCGAACTGTGTATCGCACTGGTACGCCGGCGACCCGGGTTCTATCCTCGCTAGGGCCAACTTTTTTTTTTGTTTTCAATTTGTTTTCTCGATTAATTTTCCGAAAAATATACTTTCTAAGAAGAGAGTTATCCTAGGCCGACAGGTTAGAATGTTAAGGAAACGTAGCCTCCTTTTTAATAGTTATGCAGAAAGGATATTTTCCTTCCTCGTATTCGATCTTTATATTTGCATACGTCAAAAGAGAGAAAAAAATCCTCTTGTCTATCATGGACTTGAATTACATCCCGAATTTTGTTCCATATATCAAAAAATATATCATATCGAATTGATTGAATAGAACTAATACTTAATTCGCTGAGGAGTGACGTCATGTACGTGTCTGCAATAAATAAATTACAGGCACATCAATTGTTTCTAGCCGCAGCGTATACATTTTTTATATATATTTTTATTAGGTTTCCCAATATTTGACAAAAATAATTCAATATTTCGAACTACCCTACTTCCAACACATCAATTTTTGTGTTCCTTCTTCGCGCCAAAAGACAGTCAAAACGTTTTCAAATGTGGTAGGCCATGAAAACAGGAAAACATAATATCAGTCGGCATGACAACAATATCAATACTTCTTCATAGTCATGAAGAACATGCTACATTATTATTATTATTATTATTTCAGAACTAGGTACCTGAAGGTTTTCATTCAGTGTAACAGAATTCATTCTAGAAACGTATCTTGATTATTTAACGAAAAATATGTATCCTTGGTTCTTTTGTGCCTTCTCTTTCTTTTTGCATAATAATGTAGCGTTGTAGCCGTATTATATATACATGGCTATGAAGAAGTATTGATACTTGTGATATTTTATTTCTTATTATATCATGGCCTACCACATTTGAAAATGTTTTTACTCACTGGTTTTTCATGTGAGAATGTCAACATGTTATAGATGGCTGTAAAGGGAATTCTTAGATCTATTCAATGGTATAAAAAAATATAAAATAATACTGGTAAAACATCCTTCACCAGAATGAACAGAAGAAAAAGGATTTGAAACAGGTACTTCCGACATATCTACTATAAAATAAAGAAAATTATATCGGATGTTGAATTTTCTTCTTGGTACCAATTATCTTACCTTATCGACTAAAACTGACGATAATAATTGTTGGAACACCTTATTCACAACATGTTTGCTGTTTGATTCAACAGTTTTCAAATAAGTAGATGAAACAGCAGAATATACTATATTTTATGGAGAGCAGTATCTTTATAGAGTTTGAGGTGTACTTTAGACCAGTAAATAGGTACTGAACAGGAATTATGGTGACGGATTCAGAATGCAATGAATATTTTCAAAAATAATGCAGAAATGAAGCAAAATATCCATTTCAGTTTTTGTGCCAGTGCATTGGACCACTTCTTTTCCAATTTGTTATCATATCCTAAGTAGGTACTATCTATTTTTTTATCATATCATAATTATATACTTTCGGTTTCACCCATGAACTATGTTTGAAATAATAATAAAAAAACCTAACCTGTCTTTTGAATATGTGTATAGGTTGGTATATGTCCAATATATGGACACCATATGGATGTCCATCATGGAATCCGAATGGATGTCCATCAAGGATAACGCATGTATGTTCTGAAATGTGGATAGCTGATATCCTATGGACATCCATAGAATGTCCTGTGTACACAAAGTGGTTATCCTATGGATGTCCAGGATGTCCGGTTGAGGATATCCCTTGGATGTCCAATGGATGGAGGTGTGTTATTGAGGATTGGCAAAATTTTCGCCCCCGATTCTGAATTCGCCCCTGGGCAGTTGCCCCTCTAACCTGTGGTTAATCCGGCCCTGGAGATATCCCATAAGGACATCGATATTACATACAATACATATCACCGCTTACCTTCGGCGCAGGCGTCGTCGTAGTAGTAGAGGCGGTTGTCTTGCCCCCGCTCCTGCCCCCCGCCAGCGGGCTTCTCCTGCCCGTCAGCGGCCGGGAGACCTTTTTCGGGGGCGGCGGCGGCGGCTCGTCGTAGTCGGCGTAGTCTGGGTCGGCGGGGCGGGCCGAGCAAAGGGCCAAGATGGAGGCCAGGACGAGGAGGAGGCTGTAAAATATCGAAAATGAGCCTTTCCAGCTATTTCTAGAAATAAACTACTCAACACTAATTTCGTCGCACACCAAAATGTCGTCCCTGATATAATGTGAATAACTTCTTTCAGTTTAGAACAATTTGAATCTGGTTCACACTGTTCGATAGCCCAGTCCTTCAGCTATAATCTGGTACTTCATTGAAACATAAGGGTATTCACATAAAATCTCTACATGGTGTTTTCCGACACAGTGCAAAATTTCGGAATATTCAAAAGGCTCTCAAATGGTGAAAAAAATTGTTTTCTCAACTTCGACAACAGAGGCATGAAGATGATCTCATTACCTCGAGATATTTCGCGAATCAACTTCCTATCTCTCTTATTTACAGAGTGATCTCAAAAAATCAACTTTTTGGTTTTGCAGCCATAACTTTTTTTTACGTCAAGCGATTTTGGAAATTTTAGGCTCATTTTGAAGATAAAACTTCAGATGAAGATATCTGAATATCAGAATTGACTCAAGATGGCTCACAAAGATCTGGAGTTTTCTTGAAAGTGACCCAAATCTGGAACGCCCTCCGAATCTCGGTTGGGAGGAGAATTGAATGAAAATCAACTTGTTCTCGGAAAAACAATTCATTCTGGATGCGTCCATATTTTCCTCGCTCTCAGTAGTCAAGAATTGTGCGTGAGAAAACACAATTGAAACATGTTCTTGCAAAAACATTAGATTATTTCTACTCTGTAATGCATGGCCCGCCGTAACCAACGTTACAAGAATGAATATCTCGGTAACGGTTTGTTAGATTGTTGTGAATATATGTACAGGGTGATTTCAAATTATGGCAGATTCAAAAATTTTCTCACCATGTTGCCACGTTTTTAGTTTTTCCGGAATTATTATCAACTTCCTTAATTTGAACAGAACACCCTGTATTTTTTTTTATTTTCAGATTCTCCCTGAAGAGCTGATTTTACCGATATATCACACTAGGAGTCTAGCTGGAATGATTACAGAGATTAGATTAGATTAGATTTGGAATGGGGCCTTCGGTCTATCTGCCTCCACACCGCAACCTTTTCAGATCTATTGTGTCTGCCCTCAAAATCGATTAGAGTTCTTCGGCTAGCCCCGCCTTCTCTATGAGACTCCATAGGCTAGCTTTCAGATCTCCTGTGTATCTCTGGGCTCCTGGTTTTTCCTCACCCAGCGTAAGGAACCTTAGTCTTGACAAGCCCTCACAGTGGCAAAGTATGTGTACTGCTGTTTCTTCCTCTTCTTGACAGAACCTGCACAGCAGTTCTTCAGTCAGACCTATCATACTCATGTGTTTGTTGAGCCTACAATGCCCTGTGAGAAGTCCCACTAGTATTCTAGTTGAACTTCGTTTCTGGCTTAGTAGATATTCTGTGAATGTTGGCGATGGTTTTTTAATAAACTCTTTAGCCTGTCTCATTCCTGACGAGTTGTTCCACCATTCTTAAGATTTGGCTTGCATCCATGATTTGATACTAGTCTTTTGTATAGCTTTCGCAATACCACAGAAAGGTTCTGGGCCATTTAGAGCTTTGTTTGCTCCTGCTCGGGCAAGTGAGTCTTCATTGCCCTCGTACCCTGTATGTTCTGGTACCCATGCTAGAGTCAATCTGTTCTGACTGCCCAGTGCATTTAGGGTTTCTAAGCAGTCCCATACTAGTTTTGAGTTAACTTGCATAGAGTTGACTGCTTTGATTGCCGCCTGGCTATCTGAATAGATTGCAATGGTTTTGCCTTTAAACTCTTGCCTTATCAATTCTTTCACGCAATGATGTATTGCAATAATTTCTGCCTGAAACACCGTCGCGTATTTGCCTAAGCTCAGTGAGATTCTTGTCTTTGGCTTGGCCCCATGAATTACAGAGATACAGGGTGTGAAAAATGTATTCTGATTTAGCTTCCATGTTCATAATTTATCCGAGAATATTCCTTTTCAAGACTACCCAACAAATGTCAGTTTCCGATCTTGAATGATGCATAAGTTTTACAGCACTGGCCGTGTTTTGTTCATTTCTCTGTATGTTTCAATACAGACCTAAACAACATATAATCTTTAACACTTGAGTTTTCTACATTTACATGCAATTATGCTTTCATCATCGCTATCACCATTATAAGAATGTGAAAAAGAAGAACTTTCGCGATACCTATAATTCAGACGTACCAATGGAACGTATTACAACCCATACCTTATATACCTCGTTAATACTTAATGACGATGCATTGAGGATGATGAGAAGTCTAATCATCAGTCTGCAATTTCCTATACATCTATTTCCTGTTTCATTAGACTAAGGCTATATGGCAGTATTACCATGATTGAGTTGCTTTCTGTTGCATTAATAACAACCTTGGAAATAAAAAATTCAACATCGAACGATGTCGGGTTGTTGTAAACCTTCGGATTATTCTTATTAGTAGTTGATCACAGGCATTATCAATATTATTCGTAGGATTTTTCATAAACCTTCAGTAAACCTTTGATGAGAACCTTTTTTTATTTACTTATCTCGGCTAACGAAGTTAGCCTTATGCTAAATATGTGATATGCTATTTGAATCGGTTTCCATTATTTCTACTTGTTTGCCCAATATACTTGATGCTACAATCGTCACATTTTGTACCATAGATCACTGACATATCATGAATTTTTATGAAATATGATTCCAACGGTCTAGCAATAGCATATATGTAAATATGAACCTCCAATTATTGACAACTGTAAAATGTGTGATCTTGAATTTATTCACAGGATGACCTTGTGTTTCGTTCCGGATCTCGTCTTTCGTTTCGATACTTTTACTTTTCTCACTTATTATTGAGATCAATGTTACATAAATCAAGTCGATGCCGAAAAGTTATGTCACGTGTGTGACGTTAGCTATAAGGTGTAAACGAGCTACACACAATCAGCGAAGACATAATATTATTTATGTGATTAGGTGAGAAAATGTAACTTTCGACTAGAACTAGACCTTCATTTGAATGGATAAATTGCGTAGACTAGGGTGATCCAGATTCGTTTATCTCATGCAAACATTGAGATTTTATCGATGTTGATTGAACCTGCAGCAAAATTAGCAAGGGGTTACCCCCATGCTATACATATACAGGGTGTTTCATAATATATGCGCAGGACCTCAGGATATGATAGCTCGTCCAGAGACATGAAAAATAAGTTTTTATCAACTTTCGAGGTATAGGTTGTTGAAATTTGGAAAAAAAATTCGTGTTTTGCGAATATCTCTGGAACCGTTTATCGCACAGAGTACAGTGTGTCCAGTTTTCGATGCTTTTGCGTGATATCTCAGTTATCTTTGGAGATAGAATCTTGCGGTTTTCGCGGTTCTGTGCCACTTTTTTGTGAAACTCAAGATGGCCTAATCAGATTTTGAATAACTGTTTTCGTTTATGAGATACAGGGCGATTTTGAAAATTCATACTTTTTGGAACCCTTCTATATCTACGAAGTTTCTTAGCGAAAATCTCAAATTAAAATCTTATCCCAAAGAGAATCCAGTGGCGTTTCAGATTCGATTTCGGGGAAAAACTTATGATTTTTTAAATGAAACACCCTGTATTTTATAAGCTCATCAAATTCCTTATCATTTTCCCTTCAAAATGATATGTGATGTATAGATATAGATATAACATTTTCTAAAATGCTGAAAAATCACTATAACATTGAATTTTAATAGTGAGCTATGGATTTTCATATAAAAATGGTCCAATTGAAGGAATATTTCTATCGATTTTTCCATGAAAAAGACGAAAACAAAATCAACACTAATTAACTAATGAAACACAAAAAAAAGGTACCCGAAAGCAACAAATAAATAGTAATAAGAACTTCATAATGTAGAATAAGCACCTGATTGAATATTTACTAAAACAATCGAATTTCGAAAGCATTCAGTAACTTATTCATTGAATTGTTCAAATTGATGTCCATTTTTCTAATACACAATTGACACACTATCTCGATACGTCTTAATACAGTGAAAGTCACAAATTTGAAGAACTTCGTGCAACAACAGACTCAACTTTCCAGAAATTACAAAGACATCTTTTAATGATTTTGAATGCATAAGACGTATTGAGAAATTGTGTGAGGGAAAATGGACATCAATTTGAACAATTCAATGAATATGTTACTGAATAATTTCGAAATTCAATTGTTTTAGTAAATATTTAATCAGGTGCTCATTCGAAATTATGAACGTTTTATTATTCATCATTTGTTGCTATCAGGTAACTAAGTTTTGTGTTTCGTTAGTTAATTAGTGTTGGTATTGTTTTCGTCCTCTTCATGGAAAAATCGAAGGAAATATTCCTTCAATTGGAACTCTTTTATATGAAAAATCCATCCAATTTGTTTAATGTTTGTTCAATGTTTGAATAATTTTGGAGCATTTTTGAGTTTTCATTTATACATTATATATCATTTTGAAAGGAAAATATTAGTAATTTAATGAGCTGATGAAATACAGGGTGTTCCATTTAAAAAATCATAAGTTTGAGTAGTATCTCCAAAACCATACCCCGAAAAAAAATTGAGTGCGCCACTGTATTATGCGTAAAATTCTCTATGGTCTGAGATTTTAATTTGACATATTTGCTGAGAAACTTCGTAGGTATACAGGGGGTCCAAAAATTATAAATTTTCAATATCGTCCTGTATCTCAAGAACGGAAACATCTGATTTTATTTTTGCTGAGAGTCATGTACTAGATCTAAGACAAATATATTATTATAACACACTTATCTTCACTCACAAAAACAGGCACCTACTAAAAAATCCAGAACACTGCTACAACACACAAGGCAAAAAGTAGGTAATTATCGAGGTAATTATGTAACTGTCAAAACTGTTAAAAAAGCAATTGGCAAAAAGTGTCATACATACCTTTCCTTAGTTATATTTAACAATCTCAATGAAGTCTATAAGAACTACCTTCTGAAAATAAATAGTCTGGA